TTCTTAGAAGCAGCCTGCTTCTAAGAAGCCTTCCGCCCACCCCCTGGTGCGCGCAGCCAGGGGCCACCCACGCGTGCAGCCGCCTCTCCCTCGCCCCCACCTCCACTGCGGTGGGGGGCCCATGCCAGGAAACACCCTGTTCGCCTCCAGGGTGCCCTGGGGTTCCTGGGTTTCGATGGTTTTGCGATGGAAAGCATGACGTTCCCACACCGTGGAACCGTCATGCTTTGGTTCTGCTGTGGAAGGCGTGGCGTTCCCAGGCCAAACACCGATGGACGTCCTGGTGTCTCAGGGTTGGGTTTCTTGCGGAAGGTCTCTTCTGGACGGGCCACAATGCATGCGTGGTGGAGGGGGAAACCCCACCCAGCCCTGCTTCGCACAGGTGGCCCCTGCCTGGGGGGAGCTCGCTGCGGCGCCCTCCCTGGGCAAGTCCCAACAGCCTCCTGCTTTCCTCCCCTCGGGGGCGGCAAAGAGGGGGGGGGTGATGACTAGGGGGGATGGACATCATGGCGTGGGCCACGACATTTCCCCAGATCTCATGGCGCCTCCTCTTCTCTTATTACGTCCCTGGCCCCCCCCCTTGGGCCGCGAACGTGCCGCTGGCCATGAGTTACGCCCCCCCCCCTCTCTTGCACGCCCGCCCCCGATTCCCCGGGTAGAGTGGAAACCCATGCCAAGAAGCACTCCGCTCGCCTCCAGGGTGCCCCGGGTGTCTTGGTAGGCGACGGTGTTGCTGTGGAGAGGGTGGCGTTCCCACACCAAACAAAAGAGACATTGACTCCCGGGGTCTCAGCGTTGGGTCCCTCGTGGAAGGCTACTTGTGGTCGGGCCCCCGCTGTAGGTGGGGTCGGAGGCTCATGCCGCATCGCCGATGCCTCGCCAGTGCGGCTGGACGCGGAGCCCGATGTCCTTCACGCCGACGTCGCCGATACATCGCCGCCGTCGCCGATGCAGCACCGAGGCATCGGCGGCGCATCGCCGCTGCAGCGGCGACGTGGCGTGGTCCTCCTGGCCCGGCCCCTGCCCCTCCCGCTCTCCTCTGGCCCCCCCTGTCTCGCTCCACCCTGCCGTCCCTCCTCACTCCCCTTGCCCTCGCCACCCTTCGGGCCGGACGAAAGGGGGGGATGGGGAAAGGGGGGGTTACGAAATTTGCTGCACGCAGCCGGTTTCGGCCTCACACAGCCGCCTCCGGTGCCGCCCACTCCTCGACACACAGCCGCCTCCGGCGCCGGGAGGCGCCGGGAAAATCAGCTGCGTGAGCTGATTCTCAAACCTGCCCTTTGCTATCCCCCCCTTTCGCCCGACCCGAACCCTGCAGGGGCGGTGAGCGCGAGGAGAAGGCCCTCTCCCCAGGTGGCCAGCGCCGCCTCGGCCCCCAGGCAGGGGCGCGCCCGAGGAGGGCGTGGTGCGCTGGTCTCGGAGTGGGGGGGCCTTCGGTCAGTGCGAGGGGGTGGACGATGAGGATAACGACCGCGACGATGCGTATATGAACAAGGTGGGGACGAGAAGGGCGCGACGAGGAGAGTAGGAGGACTGCGTCGACGAGGAGGAGGAGGAGGAGGAGGAGGAGGAGGAGGAGGAGGAGCAGGGTGAGGGCGAGGAAGGGGGGGATGCAGAGGAGCAGCACGGAGCAGGAGCTACAAGAGCACGCGGGAATTGTGTTGGCAGCGGTGGTGGCAGCAGCAGGAGATGCAGGAAGCAATAAGGAAAGCAGGAGGAGCAGAAGCATGAGTCAGGGCGGCCAGGCCGGACGAGTTGGCAGGCCCCGCCCATTCCAGGGTTCGTTTCGATCCGTTCGGTCCGATTCGAGATCGGCTCTGGCTGGCCCCATCCAATTCGATTCATACATTCCGACGATTCGGCCTGGTGTTTGCTCTCTCACGCGGCCAAATTTCGTGTGATAACGGCGAAGACGAAACATGCGACGCGGCGAAGCAGCACTGCCACTTTCACACAACATCTGCGCGGCGCTTGGGCGAGATCTGTATTTCGCCCGCTCTTGCGCGGCCCCGTTGCCGCTGCCGGTTTCCCGCGACTCGGCGGGCGAAACATATGTGCCGCGACGGAGCGGGAACGCCACTTCCAGGCGAACTCTGCACGGGGCTCGGGCGAGGGCCACAATTCGTTGGCTCTCGCGCCGCCCTGCTCCCAATGATTGGGCCAGTGGAGAAGATGCGCTGGGCTCAGGCGGGAAAGACACTTTCAGGCGGAGTCTGCGCGGTGACCACGCGGTTGACGAGGCGGCGGCGAGCGAAAAGTGTGCCCGTGTCCCAAGCGTGAGGGCAATTTTCACAGCACATGTGTCAGGAGGGGAAAAAACACACAGACGTAATTAATCGTCGATCCCCAGGAAAATATGCGAAAATATAGGAAGTGGGGGGAAGACAAAAACCCACAAAATATGCATTATGTGTGTTTATTTGTGTGTTCTGGGGCCCCTTTCATATGCACGATGTGGAGGCGAGAGCGACGCTCGTGAGGTGCGCGAGGTCGGCGGCAGAACGCCCCACTCCTGCCACCCATTTGGTCAGTCGACGACGTGACGTCCACGTCAGATGGCTCATTGTGCGACGCTGTACTGCCTCGCCGAGGAGGCTTACCGCATGCCGCCGATCCCCAAAGGACAGAGCTATGAGAGGAAGAGAAGGAAAGAGCAGGAGCATCCCAAAAATTGGGTGTGGGTCTGCCCCCCCCTCAGGTGGGGGAAGCTAGCATTAGGGGAACAACAAGTGACACAAACATGAAAACTCGGAGGTCCGCGCGGATTCCTCGGATCGGCGCAGGGGCCCCCCAGCGGCGCCTCCGGCGCCGCCCCTGGCGCGCTCCGCGCGCCAGGGAGGGGGGTCCGGCGCCGATCCGAGAAGTCCGCGCGGACCTCCGAGCTTTTCCGTTTATGCCGCTTCTCGTTCCCCTGAGCGTGCAGATCTCCCAAGCAGTGCGTGTTGGGGTGGGGGGCTTTGCATGCACTTCGCTTTCGGCACCGCCTGATCCCGGGGCTTTGCCCTCTCATGGCCTTGACGTGAGGCCACTCCTTCTGTTTTTTTCTTTCTCTGTCAATTAAAGCCGTGCGCGGCCCGCTTAGCTCAGTAGGGGAAAAAACACACAGACACAATGAATCGTCCACTCCCAGGAAAATATGGGAAAATATGGGAAGTGGGGGGGAAGACAAAAACTCAAAACATATGGGAAACTATGGGGAATAGTTTTATTTGTGTGTATTTGTGTGTGTGTGTGTTCTGGGGCCCCTTTATTAGCTTCGACCGGAAGAGGCTCGCTCTCGACCAGCGGATCAAGAAAGTGTTGGGGTGGGGGGGGGGATAGGGCGGCCCCGGGTGCGCCGTGCATGGTGCTCCTGCGCGAGGCTCCTCCCGGGGCTCCTCTCGTCGGAGCCGCCACGTGGCCCCTGTCGGGGCCATCTCTCGCCGCGCCCTTTTTTGGAGGCCTTTTGGGGTGTGCGGGAGGGGGCGGAAGTAGTAATTAGTAGTAATTAATTCGGAATTAGTAGTCATTCCTGGAGGCCTTTTTGGCAGTAATTTGTTCGGGGGCGTGCGGGAGGGTATGGTTCGGAGGTTGACAGACCTACCCGGACACGTTTTTTTGCGCGTGTCGAGAGCGCACCCCTTCCGGTCGAAGCTAAGCGGGCCGCGCGGAGCTTGAATTACGCAGAGAAGGGGGAGGAGAAGGGGGGGTGCAGCCTCAGAACGAGGCCGGGAGGAGGCAAAGCCTCGGAACCAGGCGGTGAGACCTACCTTGACACGTCGATTCGTGAATTGGCCGCTTCTGGTTCGCGAGAGGCGTCGCGGCCGTTAATTTTGTGGGTCCAGGTCTGGGGTGTCGGTCCTAGGCCGTTTTCTCTAAGGGGAGGTCTACTAAAGGGAGGTTTGTCCACCGCTGATAGTTCAGGGGCGTGCGGGAGGGTATTGTCGGGGACTAGGACTATATACATTGACGGTGGCGGGTTGCTTCTCAATCCCAGGATCTTTTATGGGTCAGGGACGACGTCGGGGTGGTGTAGTGGAAACAACGAAACAATTATACACCAGGATCCCGTATACACCAGAATCCGCGTTCCTGTGCGAATTTTAGCGCCAGGTCGGGAAAAGCGTCGGTGTATAGAGTTCGTTTCCCTATATAGGGCCCGTCTGCAGGCGATCCTGGGCCATGCGGGAGCCATTCGAGGGCTGCCTCGAGGCCGGCCAGAAGCCCCGTGGGCCCATTCTGAGGTTTTGTCGGAGGCATCTTGCGTTGATGTACAGTGGAGGTCAGTCCACAAGAGACCTCCCACAGGAAACCCAACCCTGAGGCCCCAGGACGTCTATTGTTTTTCCGGTGTGGGAACGTCATGCTTTCAATCGCAAAACCATCGAAACCCAAGAAACCCAAGGCACCCTGGAGGCAAGCAGGGTTTTTCTTGGCATGGGCCCCCACTGAATGCAAACCCACTTTCATACCACGTTCATCCGTCAACGCCTCCGCCCCCCAATGTTCAAAGTTGACGGTTGGTCTTGTGAGTTGCACCTCGACCGCAGTCTCCCCCACGCGTGCCAATTTTGGGTTTCGCGGGGAGGTGGAGTGTTCAGTAATTGTTTCCCTCTACCGTATTGCCCTGCTCACAGGTGAGACGGGCTTCCAGCATGGGAGGGTGTCGGCTGGCTGGGTGGCAGAGTGGGTGTCCATATGAATAAGTATCACGGATACAAGGATTTGATTGTGGATTTGATTGTGGACTTGTTTGATTCATTCTTTTGCCGATCGGCGCGGGATCCCTCGCACCCCCCCCCTTACGCGGAGTAGATCTTGGCTGTTTTTTGCGCCTGTTTCGAGCAGGTGGAGCCTCCCCCATAGGACGCACGGTCCCAAACAGTCGCACCAAGCAGAGGTCCGGAGCCAGACCCCCCCCTCCCTCCCCCTCTTCCGCCCAATGTCGAAACGCCGAAGAAGAAAACGTTCGCATTACCACGTGATTGGCATTATTCACCCTTGTCTATTTTCCCGCTGCAAGGATGGTAGCGATAACATCCTGCGCATCTCGGCCGTGACTGCAACGTGGAACGGAAAGGCAATCATTCAGGATTTCCCAGACGCTTGGAAGAACGAAGACCCGCGGGTCGAGATCTCCACCGACGAGGACGGAGAGATCCTGCAGCCCGCCCGCGAGGGCCAGAATCAGCTTCACGTGGTGCACGTGAAGCTGCCGCTGAACATCGAGGTTCGAAGGCAAAACTGCAGAACACACAGACTCTCAGAGGTCCGCGTGGATATCTTGGATCGGCACTGGGTCCCCTTAGCGGCCCCTCGGGCGCCGCCCTTGGTGCGCTCCGCGCGCCAGGGATGAAGGCCCAGCGGCGATCCAATAAATCCGCGCGGACATCTGACAGGTTATCCAATGGCCTTCAGCCCAGCCCGCCACCGTGCCTAGGTTGTGAGTCATAGGCCTCTTAAGATGTTTGTTGGGGTGTCGCGGGAGGCCTCTCGGGGGCTTCTCGGGGGCCGTTTCGAGGCTCCTTAACGCTTGTTTTGGCGTTTCTTGCGGCGTCTTCGGGGCCTCTTGGAGGTCTCTTGGGGCCTCCTGGGGGCCTCCTCGGGGCCTCTTGGGGCCTCTTGGGGCGGAGGGCTCGGATGTTCGATTCGTGTTCCCGTCTTGGGCCCTTTTTGGGGCTGTCGTTGGGCCCTCTTGGGCCGTCTCGGGGGCTTCTGGGGCTGTGTTGGAGCCCTCTTGGGCCGTGTTGAGGCCCTCCTGGGGGCCACTTGGGCCGTTTTGGGGCGGTCTTGGGGGCCTACTGGGCCGTCTTGGAGAGTCGTAAGCTCGAAAAGTCGAGGACCCAAAAATCATTGAACACCTGATGGAACTAAATGATTTGGGCCTCTCGCGGCCTTCTTGGGAAGGCTCTTGGAGCTTTCTAGGGGCGTCTTGGAAGCCTCTTGGGCCGTCTGGGGACCGTCTTGGGCGTATTGGTGCGATTGTTCGGCTACTCGGGGCCCTCTTGGACCGTCTTGGGTCTTGGGGGCCCCTTGGGCCCTCTTGGCCCGTCTTGGGCCCCTCTTTGTGGCCGAAAAAGTCACGCGAGAAGACGCGATAAGCCCCCGACAAGACGCGCCAAGCCCCGCCAAGTTTTGCAATCTGGGCTCGGGGCCCCTTGAAGACTCCTCAGGGGTGAGGAATGAGGCTTCGAGGATTGGGCAGAAGACCTGAGGACACGCCCACTCCGTGCCCAGCAGCACGGTACCGGATTGTTGTCACGTTTGGTTCCCTTTTCCTCATCGCCTTCCACCTCCCTTTCCTCCTCCCCGCCCTGTCCTGATCAGCCGACGCAAAGTTTGGCCCACGTCTGTTCGCGATTGCCGGAATGTGATGGCTTGCCAACGTGTTGGGCGGCGTTCTGGCTTGTGAGCGAGCGAGTGGACAATTACGGACACAATGGGGACACAGACCAGCAGTTTTTCGCATGTTGGACAGGACTCGTTGTCGCCACCGCCGCGGACGTTTTGCCCATTCGTGACAAAATTTCGACTGACCAGCAGCAGCCGCTGTCGATGTTCGACAACATGCGTTGTTGGGCATCCTGACCATTTCTTGCATACCAGTGTGGGCGTACCAATCCTTGAGGTGCAGATTAACCGTTGGAACGAGCCCACCGAGGGGGACTACATCAACGCGCAGATCACGATGTCCCCGCAGCCCGGGCAGGACGGGCACTGCGGCAACTTCAACGGTGATCCCCAGGACTTTGGGGACGTAGACTACCCAGTCTTCCGACGACCTGAGCAGCCCGCGTAAGCGGTGGCGCAAGGTCGTTGCGTCCTCTCGCGTAAGACCCAGTCAGTTTAGTCTCTCATATGTTGAGACAGTTTCATCTGTAAGTACATGGGTGTGAAATCTAAGCGCGTGTCAGTCTGAATATGCGCAAGTCTGAGTGTGCGTGCCCCTCTTTGCTTCGTATAGTATGCTTTCTCAATGCCGCCGTGTACTACCCCCCTGGCGGGTACCCCTGGGCGTGATCAAGACGGACCTGTTTCTCCGTTTTGGGTCTCAGGGAGCCCTCGCCCTGCACTGTGGACCGTCAGAGAGCGATCCGGCATGAGCACCTGGTCCTGGGTGAGGGACCGAGACTACGCGAAGAAAAGTGACATAACATAAAAACTCAGAGGTCCGCGCGGAACTCTCCCGGGCCAGGAGCGCGCAGGCACCAAGTTTCAAGCAGTGGCGAAGCGTCCTGGCTCGCCTATAGGCCCACCAAAGAAGGATATAAGAACCTTTTTCTATGGCTTGCACGAAATGTTCTTCGAACATTTCTGGCTGGGGCTGTCTTGTTTCACGCAGCGGGCTTCTGTTCTAAGAACCTTGCCTTTGTTCTTAGAACACTTCTGGGTTCTAGTTGACATCTCGTGGTAGGCCTACAGTCAAGGGCAGAAACAACGCCCCTACCCTGGTTTACGAGGCGCTGTGCGCTGAAACTCCTGTGGGCTGACAGGGTAAACCCTGCGTGATGTGCCGCGTCCTGGCGGCTCTAGGCTTTGGGGGTTCCCAGGAGGTTTACAGACCGCGCACTTGTAATCCAGGGTAGGGTCGTTGTTCCATCCCTCAATACAGGAATGCTGGGACGTACGGTCCCTGATCACGAGTTCTGTGAGCCCAGCACGGGCCTGGCCACCGATCCCGAGGCCGGCGCAAGTTCGGGCTGCGGCTCGCTGCGATCGGCCCCTCCGCCGCTCGGGTGCCACCCCGTGCCCGCGCCGCGCTGCGGGCTTGGGGGGGCCCTCGTCTCGGTCCCCCTCGTCGCTGTGCGATTCTGCCGGGGAGTTCGCGCTCCACTCGGAGGAGGAGGAGGAGGAGGAGGAGGAGGAGGAGGAGGAGGCGGAGGAGGCGGAGGAGGAGGAGGAGGAGGAGGAGGACAGAACAGACATCCGGAGGACGACACCCGCCCCCTCATCCGCGCACGCGTCGGCACCGCCGGCGTCGACCTGGAGGACCTGCTCTTCAAGACCAAGACGCCGGTGAGGCAGCCGAACCGGCCCGACCTCAACGACTGTCCCACCGAGAAGGCAGCACCTCCACTCCTCCCCTTCTCCTCCTGGGAGGAGGAGGAGGAGGAGGAGGAGGAGAAGGAGGAGGGAGGGGGGGAGGGGGGGAGGAGGAGGAGGAGGAGGAGGAGGAGGAGGAGGAGGAGGAGGAGGAGGAGGACGAGGACGAGGAGACGAGGAGGAGGAGGAGGAGGAGGAGAAGAAAGAGGAGGAGAAGAAAGAGGGGGGGAAGGAGGGCGGAGGAGCAGCAGCAGCAGGAGCAGCAGCAGAAGCAGCAGCAGAACCCGCAGGACCAGCAGCAGGAACAGCAGCCGATCGCCGATCCGACCTGACGATTTGATTCCGGGCTCTCCTTGAACGGAGAAGGAGGGGCCTTCTCGGAAGGCGACGGGGCTCCTCACAAGCCCTCGCGTGTTCTGAGGAGTGCTCCGCGTCTTCAGGGAAGGTTCTGAACATGCTGCGGAAGGCCAGGGGGACTTTCGAGCCTTCGAGAAGGCCAGCCTTTCCTCATTTCCCCCCCAGGCTCGCTGCCGAGGCGTCAGCACGAGGAAGAGGGGTCCTGAGGGACAGGGGTCCAGAGTTGTTGTCGTCACGTTCGGCCTTTCTCCTGGCATCGCTCGGACGTGTTTATATTTTTCTTGGTGAAGAACATCGAGGACCATCCTGGACCATCGAGCGAACAAAACACGCACGAAACCGAAACATGCACGGGAAATGGACGTCCGAGCGATGGCAAGTTCTGGGCCCTGCTCGGGCCCAGGACCAGCAAACATCAACTCGGGATAAAATGCGGGCTCCAGGGGAAGGCCAACCAGGTATCCCAAACCCGCGCTCTTCTGGATTTGTTGTGTGGGATCCGGCGTCGCGAACACATTGCAGCTCCGTGGAAATCGAGACACGGACCCTCGACCACGTCTCCGGTCGTTATTTTTCGGGCTCGGTCGAGCCTTGATCTCTCGGTCGATCCGCGAGGGTCCCGGGGGCTGCAGCCGGGCCCAGAACGCCCGTTGTGGAAAAGTTGCTGCGCACTGATCTGATGGCCTCCTCCCCCCGGGGAGCAGGCGCACAGCGCGCGCGAGCTCTGCGCGGCCAAGTCCAAGACGCACATGGCCAGCCAGGATCGGCAGGCCCAGAGCGGTGCGGCGACCACACCGCCGGGCGAGTCAGTGGGGGCTCGGGGTGAACAGTGCGGCCGGCCCGCTGAAGAAGGAACCCTTTTCGTTGCGGAGGGGCTCACTGTTCCTGAATTTTTCTGCGGCTTGTCTTGGGTGTCCCTCAGAGTATCTATATGGGAGATCGAAGTTTAACTTATGAGGGTTCCTGCTGACAGGTGCGAGTAAAAAGGTGCCTCGTTCCTATTTTCGGGAGGGCTCCTTATGACAGCGTTGCGACTGCACGGTTCTGGGGATCTCTGGAGCCCTTCTCCGAGGAGTCCTTCCTCGGGCGGCTGGGGCGCCCAGAGGGGTCCCGAAGCAAGGCGGTGGCTGAGCGTGCGGTGAGGTCTTGGGTGGGATGCCGACGTCAGGGCTGGACCTAAGCGCTGTTTGTTTTCTGACGGCGGCCCGCCCGCTTGCAGGCTTGGAATTTTGGGGTAAGGCCTCCTCCCCCGCCCCCGAGATATGTCGGACTTTGGAAGCCAGAGGCATCAGGCCGCCAGATGGATTTCCAGAGGCGGAGGAGGAAGAGAACGGACCTAAACGTTGTTTTTGCTGGACTTCGGCTGCGACTTTTCTTCGTTTTGGCAGGGAGGTACACAGGAGAACAGGTAGAGCAAAGCACGAGCAACATAACGAAAACAAAAAGGCATGCCGACACCCGGGTTGGACTTAAATTTGAGTCGGGCGCGTCCTTCTACAGGAGGAATATTCAAACATATTACAATCAGAGTCTGGGGGCGACTTTTTAACGATTTGTTTCATGTTGCGTCCGAAATCTGTCTGCTGGAGGACACGCCCGGCCTAAACTTAAGCGCTGTTTTGCTGGACTTCGGCCGCGTTTGCGCTGGACTTCGTACTGAAATATCCTCTTTGCACACATTGCGAGTGGATTCTTGCATTGTGTATCTTCGTAATAAGACAATTCGGCACAAAACGCTGATTCGTGGTAGCGTAGAGCGCCGCTGCCCGCGCATGCCGCACGGTCCGCCCGATCGAGTGCAACGTCGAATCAACCGGGGTCAACCACGCCGACGCGAAGCTGGAGAGCGGCCAGCCCCGCCCCAGCTTGCGGCCACTGGGGAGGGGGGTCGCGGGGCAGAAGATTTCCGCGATCGGCGCGCGTGGAGCAGCCACGGCGCGAGCGCAAGAGGCGCGCGCGCTTGGATCCACGAGGAGAAGGAGGGGCAGGCGCAGAGGGGCGTAGCCCGACTCTTCCGCCACGCCTTGCGCGCGAGGCCGAAGCGTTGCGGACAGCCTTCGGACGGGCGCGGCGTCCAGAGGGTCAGAGATGGCTTGAGCCGAGAGCTAGATTGCCGAGGCAGCGTTGCAAGCAGTGCAGGCGCAGGTTCAGGAGGTCATGGAGCAGCTCCGGTTGCTCCGGACAGAGAACCAGCAGTTCGATACCACATTGGCACAACAGCAGAATCATACTGGGGCTCTTCAGCAGAGCCATGCAGCCATGCAGCGGCGGCAGCGCCGGCGACCACTGAGGTGCTGCAGCCATTGGCGTCTGTGCTCACGGAGCAGACAAAGGCCCTCGCGCGGCGCGAGAGGCCGCAGATGGTGGGCCAGAAGGCCATTGGGAAACCATGGGCATTCAACAGAGATGACTCCAGGTTCCCAGAGTGGACCCGCAAGATAGAGGACAATTTGTGCGGTGTAGATCCTTTGCTGGGTCGCGCGCTGGAGTGGGCCTTGGACCAAGACGACCCAGTCAGCATGGGCGACGTGGACCTCCAGGTCGGAGGCGCAGACAACAGTTTCATCGGCGGGATGAAAGGCCTCAACCAGCAGTTCGAGGCCGTCCTTGCCAGTGCCACAGAGGGCGAGGCGTGGGCGATCGATCAGAGCTGCGCGGGAAACGGTTTGGAAGCCTGGAGGCTGCTGCGCCGGCGCTTTGACCTCGCCGAGCGGCGGGATGCGCCGGACACCTCCTGAGGGCGATCATGTCACCCAGTAAGGTGAAGATCGAAGAGCTCGGGTCGGCACTCCAGACGCAGGAGGCCATGGTGACCAGCTACAACGGGAAGGCGCAGAAGCTGGACGAGGCACAGATTGCCGAAGTACGCCGACGCGCGCGCCGAGGTAGTGCAGCACTACCAGGCCAGAACGGGAAAGCAGGTCAAGATCAGCGCGCGGGACCGCATGCCGACTGCTAACGCTAAGGGCGCAGACGGCAAGGGCAAGGCCCAAGGGGGCAAAATTGACAGCTCCAGACAATTGGTGGTGTGGCAAGGTGGGCCACAAAGCAAAGGACCGCCGGGCGAAAAATCCGGCTGGCCCGAAGGGTCAGGCGAAGCCCACGGCCAAGGCGAAGGGCAGGGTCAAGAACGCCGGGCCTCTGGACACAGAGCACGACGACGACGGCGAGCGGGAAGGCGAACAGGGCGCGCTGGACATGGGGGCTCTGGACACGAAGCCCCCAGCCAGCCACTGCGCCGACGGCTGCCTCGAGTTCGACCTGGCGCCTCCGTCACGGCGCGCCCGCAGAAGTGGTTCGAGAGCCAGGGGGAAGCGCGGGGGCGGCAGCCACGAGGGCTGCGTCGCGGCGAGCTGGAAGAGAACCCCCGACGACGGAGGCGTCAAGTTGCGGTGCGCTGATGAGAACTCGATGGCGCGGAACATCACGGGCAGGCTCACAGACGCGCGCAAGGTTCTGGCCTCCGCGTCCCAGGTGGCTCGGGCAGGGCAGCTGCTCGCGCTGCAGGAGGGCGGGGGGGGGGGGGGGGCGCGTCATCCCCTGCGACAGCGTCGGCAGGAAGCTCGAGCAGGAGTTGGGCAGGTTGGCGCAGAAGCACGGCCGCGAGACCCTCCTGCCGGTGTACGAGGAGAGAGGCGTGCACAGTTTCTACATGCATGTAGATGACCAGACGGAGGTCGCCGGGCTCGAGGGCCCAGGTGCGCGGGCAGCTCCGCAGCCGGTCTTTGGGCTGCTGGACCCTCGTCGGCAAGTCCACTGGAAGGGGCGCCGGCAGGAGCGGGCAGCCCCGCGCTTGCCGAGGGGCCAGCCGCAGAGGCGGTCGGGGCACCAGGCGTGCCAGACGACGAGGCGGCGGACGAGCAGCAGGAACAGCGCCACAGGGTGTCTGCGCGCCCCCCGACGCGGCGAGAGGTCGAGGACCACTGCGCGACGGGGCACGCGCAGTTTCGATCGCGGTGTCGGCGTTGCCAAGCAGGACGAGGCATTGGAGAACAAATCAGGGCCCAAGAGGAGCCCGAGGGCGCAGACCCCGTCATTTCTTGCGACTGCGCTTACATGAATGATGAAGGGGACGAGAGCGCCAAAATGCCCATGCTTGTGATGAAAGACAGACCGACGCGAAGCTTCATGGTGACTGCAACCCCGAGAGCAAAGGAGTTGATGCCTACACGGTGAGACTACTTGCCGGGTGTGTCGGAGAGTTTGGATGGAAACGGCACGTATCCAAGTCGGACGGCGAGGCGAGCCTCGTGGCGCTGAAGGCGGCTGCAGGCGGCGCGTTGCCTCGCGTGGAGACTGCGCCACAGGAGAGCCCTGTCGGCGACCGCCAGGCCAAAGGGGATGCCGAAGTAGCAGCGAGGGAAGTTCGACGGATGATGAGGTCCTTGAAGGAGGCGTACGAGGAGAGACTCCAGAAACGCTTGCCTGAGGCGCACGACGTCCTGCACCTGGCATCCCAGGCGAGCGGCCGCCAGCCTGTCGCGGCACAGGGCGGGCGCCGGCGGTCGGGCGGCCGAGCAGAGGAGAAGCAGGAGTCGCTGGAACGAGGCCTTGATTGAGTTCGGGGAACGCACGCACACCCAGTTGGCGCAGGAAGAGCCGAGGTCCGGCTTTGCACCCAATATGGTCGAGGGCATCCACGTCGGGCACCACGCGCGCGCCGGCAGCTTGATGGCGACGACGAAAGCCGGGGCGGCGTGGGCCAAGACCTCCAACAAGACGACGGTCGCGGAGCGCTGGCAGGCGGACTTCTTCGACGACCTCAAGGGGAAGCCTTGGGACATGATGGCGCCAGGCGCGGGGAGCTCCGCGCCGGCCAGTCCTGCTGCAGCAGGTGGCCCGCAGCGGCGGCGGCGCCGTCGCCGATGCGGCAGCCGGCGGCGCGGCGCGCCGGAGGCGCAGGAGGCTCTGGGGGGGGCATGCCAGGGCCGAGGAAGCTGCGCATCCTGAAGAGGGGCGCGCAGACGCACGGGCCCGCGCCGGGGCGCGCGCCCACCGGCCGGGGCAGCGCGCGCGAAGCAGTGCGCCGAGCGGATGGCCGAGAAGATCCGCGCGGACCCCGCGCAGAGACGCCGCGTGGAGGCTCGGGCCGCTCGACGGGAACCGCGGCCAGGCGAGGGGGCCGCAGGGGGAAATCTCCATCGCCATCCCCCCCCCATCGCCCCCCCCCGCTCGCCCCCGTCGCCCTCGTCGCCACGAAAGGCAGCAAGGGCGAGGAGGAGCAGGAGTAGTTGCAGAGGGGGCAGGAGGGGGGGGAGGCAGGAGAGGAAGAGGAGGAGCACCAGGAGGAGGAAGCCCTTCTGGGAGCAGCAGGAGGGCCGAGGTCAGCAGCACAGGGCAGCTTCGGCGGGTAGCCCCGCGGGGGTCGAGCCGAGGCTGGGGCGCGCCGAAGCGTCTCGGGAGCCTCCGGCTGGCGCGGAAGGGCGACCCTCAGGGAGGCGACGCGCAGAGAGGAGCCCCGAGAACCAGTCAGTGCTCAAGCTGAAAGCCGGCGGAAGTTCCAGGACAGACAGCGGATGGCGACGCAAAGCTGCCGCCAGCAATCCAGCTGAGCACCCAAGCCAGGACGTTTTGGGCATCGCGTGCAAATTCGGGCGCCCCCGCGCCGCGAGGGTGGAGCGCCGGCGGGGGGCCCCGCCAGCGACGCCGCTGGGTCTGCCAACTCTGGCATGGAAGTCGGATCCATGGATGTTGGGAGGCTTTTGCGTGACAACAAAAAACGCTTCGAGTAGTGTGTCGTGACAGTAGTGTATCGACGTTCAAGCGCAACGCTTTTGCCTTGTCACCGTCTGAGTTGGAACAGATCAGATATCTTTCACTGGAGAGCTGGGGGCCGTGGATGCGTCTGAGCTTCAGGTTCACTTTCGTTCATTATGTTTGTTCGGAGGCGCCCTGGGCACGAAGCCAGGAATCTGCGCTGACATGGAAGCACCGATTCCTGACGGAACGCAGTGGGACTTCACTTCAGTAACGATTCAGACGCATGTGAGTGGTTCAGGGGACTTGAACGTGAAGACCGGGCCATGGATGTAGTTCGGAAGCACTTGTGGGTAGCTGGCGGAAGGTATCGTCGACAGATGGCACGTCGTAGATGCATCCCTCGCGCGCGTCCACGCGCTGCCACGAGCTGGCAGGATGAACGGATCAAGGCATTGTTTGTTCAAGGGGCAGTCTCACGAGAAAAGAGGCCTGTGTGCAAGCGGAGTTTGGATGGTCAAGCTCACGAAGGTTCGCGAGATGGTGGCGCACGCGATCTGAGGGGGGCCACTGAGTCCATGACCATTCTTCCAGGACTGGCTGGAGAGCTGGCTGGAGAGCCCCAGACTGGATCGGAGAGCGGGCAGCCCCGCCCCGAACGCCACTACGTCGTCAAGATGGTGGGTGGCCCGGCGAATCGCGCGCGCCATATATCCCTCCCGGGGTGGCCAAGTGCTTCTTTATGCCACCCAGACGAGCGCGCGCGGCGAAGGGCACCTCTCCGCGGACGTTTCGAGGCCAGCCGAGAGCTTCTGAACGACGGCAATCGGCGCTAGGATGATGTCAACGGCGGCTGGCTCGACCCTGCGATGGCTCGAGAGGCGCGGAAATGCGCGGGGAGGTCACTGGGGCCCACCAATCAAGCCGCTTTTGATTTGACACGAAGAAAGGCGACAACGATCGACACAACTTCAGCTCGAGGATTGTTGTCACAAGAAATCGGGCAAAGGCGAAGAGGGCCGGGCGCTGCCGGCGGCCTCGCCCCTCTCCGCGCGCCGCCTTCGGAGACGGTGAAGATCTTGAGCGCTGGGATGGTCCGGGAAATGGTCAGTTCCAGAGGGCAGCACCTCTGAATTCGACGATTCGACATTCCCCGCTTTCTATGGCAAGGCTGAGAGGCGCGCGCGCATGGAGCTCCCAGAGCAGGAGCAGGGCGGAATCGAATGCGGATTATTCAAGAAGCTTATGTATGGGACACTGGTCGCGTCAGCAACCAGGCAGCGCGACTGCGTAGGAGCGTTAGAGAGTGGTGGTCACGCGGCGGGCAGAGCCAATCCAGCACTGTTCTACAGCAGTCGGGATGACTGCCGCTTGGTAGTACACGGGGATGAATTTTGCGCACTTGGCGACGATGCGGCGCTAGACCAGATCGAGAAGGCGCCCAGGTCCAAGCATGATCTGAAAGTGACAGGAAGCCTCAAACTGGGCACCGGGAAGGAACAGGAAGTGATCTTCTTGAACAGGGCGGATAGGGCGGCGGGCAACCCCGGCGACGAGAGGTTCGAGATCGAAGCAGGCCCGCGACGCGCAGAGATGATCGCGAAGGAACTCGGTTCAGGAGGAAGTTCTGCGAAGTCCCTGGACACTCCAGGACTCAAGAAGGAGGAGGCAGACGAGCAGGAGCGAGCGTCATCTCCACTTCTCGTAGGGGAGGAGGTGAAGCGTTACAAGAGTGCCACCGCGCGAGCTGCATATCTTTCGCCTGACAGAGTTATCTCGGGCATGTGGTCAGTAATCTATCGGAGTACATGCAGTCTCCCGGCAGGTGGATATGGTTCGGCCAAAGAGACTCGGGAGGTATGTGAAAGGTCGCCCTCGAGTTGTTCAGGTATACGCAGCAGAATGGCCCTGCCTGCTGCCCCAGCCACCGCGCCGAACTCACTGGACTCACCAGACGCACCGGCCACCGGACACACCGGACACACCAGACACACCGGACACACTGGACATACCAGAGTCGACACACTGGACACACCAGACATACCAGACATACCGGACACGCCGGACACACCGGACCCATCGGACACACCGGATTCGCCGAACTCACCTTGGAGGGTGAAAGTGGGGGTCGGGCGCAGGGTCCCAGCAATGGTGTCTTTATGGGCCATGAGTGGGCGATGCATCCTCGATTGTTGTGTTCGGCGGGGATGCCAATTGAAGCTCCCCGCCTGCGCCCGCGCGCGAGACTTGAGGGGCACCAGAGCAAGGGGGCGAGGGGCTCTGGAAAAAGCGACGATGGCAACGTGCGCTGAGGGCGCAAAAGACAATGTCGAAATAAACGAAAGCGGTGAGGTGAGGGTCGCAATCTGCCCAGCCAATCTGACATGCGGAACACTGCGACTCAGTTTTGGGTATCTTGAAGGCCAGGGTAAAATGTGAATTCACATTGTGGGGAACAGCAAAATGTGAAGTCACTTTTTGGGAAAAAGGAAAATTAATTCACAGTTTGGGAAAAAAGAAAATGTGAATTCTCATTCGGATCTTTTGTGGAGGAATCTAGATGAAAGGGGCCAGAATGTGAACTCACATTTTGGGAAAAGGGAAAATGTGATTTCACATTTTGGGTAAATGGAAAATGTGAATTCACATTTTGGGAGAGTCGCGGGGCCCATTCCAAATCTGTCTTCGGGGTCGATCGTTCACCGTTTGGGAACATACGCGATCATCAATCGCACAATCAAGACACGCTTGCACTCCACCTCGCAGCCCCGCGCGCAGAATGCAAGAACGCCCGCACGCATGAACGATAATGGATGGGCGGCGCGTGTTCCCGCGCGGGCAACGCGCGGGCGCGAACGATTGGCCCTCCATGACCGCCAACATTGGATGCCAATCGTTCCCGATCACATGAGCGATACATTGAGCATACATGGGCGCTTCAGCCCCCATTGAGGACCCCCTGTTGCAGACCCCCTCTTTCACCCTCCAATCACCGGACTCGCAGGACCCACCGGACTCACCGTCGCAGGACCCGCCGGACTCCCGACTCACCAGCTTCTTGGATCACCCGACGATTGTGATTGTATTGGTGGTGATGGTGTTGATATTCAGATAACGATTTGGATGATGATGATGATGATGCTGATGATGATGATGATGATGATGATGAATACGATGATGATTTGGATACTGCAGCTGGCGGCGTTCACGATAATGATGTAGCTGACGCCCAACCACCCAGAGTTGATTGCGGGTAGCCCCGCGACAGCTCGAAACAACAACCTGTCTGAGGGCGGGTAACCCCGCGCAGCACTGAGCTTCGCTACAGCGTTCTTCGCTACACTAGGCTTGGGCGGATCGCCACGCTCCACTACCTTGAGACGGCTATAGAGTCGCGCCAGGCGATGCAATCTGGAGTACAGTCCAGCTTGTAGCGAGGACGGGTGTTGACATGCCCTCTCTGCACACATGATTCTGAGTGGATTGTTGCATCGTGTACCCTCGCAATTAGCCCTCTCGGCACAGAGCACCTCTTAAAAACGGAAACACAGTGAAAAACAACAACGTTTAGGTCCAGCCCTGGTCGACATCACCGCACGGGCTGTCATCGCACCGTCTCGGAACTCCGGCGTCCTCGTCCTCCTCCTGCTCCTCCTCCTCGTCCTCCTCCTCCTCCTCCTCCTGCTCCTCCTCGTCCTCCTCTTCCTCGTCCTCCTCTTCCTCCTCGTCCTCCCCCTCCTCGTCCTCCTCCTCGTCCTCCTCGTCATCCTCGTCCTCCTTCTCGTCCTCCTTCTCGGGAGTCTCTCGCGACGTCGGCGCGGCCCCTGGGAGGTCTGGGCCCCCTCCCCTAGAAGAAGCAACAACACCACAAACGCATTTCGGGCCGGACGAAAGGGGGAGATTGGGAAAGGGGGGGGTTACGAAATCTGCTGCGTGCAGCTGGTTTCGGCCTCACCGAGGGGCCCATTCCTCGATACACAGCCGCCTCCGGCGCCGGGAGGCGCCGGGAGAATCAGCTACGTGAGCTGATTCTCAAGCCCCCCCCTTTGCTATCCCCCCCTTTCGCCCGACCCGAGTATTCCTGCTGGCGCTTCGCGCGGGTTTCTCGGAACCGCGCCGTGCCACCCAGCGGCGGCTCCGACGCCGCCCCTGGCGCGCTCCAAGCGCCAAGGAGGGGGTCGGCGCAGATTTAAGGAATCCGCGCGGAGCGCCAGAAGTTTATGTTTGTGTAGTTTCTTCTCCTTCGATCCTCGTCGGGCCTCGAACATCGGGAGCCAAGGCAAGCGGAGGTCGGTCAGAGCGCCGGATCTTGCAGAATATTGCAAAGCCAGAGCTGCACTGGCCAAGGCTTGGAAGCAGGATCCTGCAGGATCTTGCAGGATCCTGACTGACCCAGATCTGCCCAGACCCGGGCCAGTACGTCTACGACTTCGGGGCCAGTGTCTCCCTTTCCTCCCAGGTCTTGCGTGCGTTGTTGCCCCATGGCCTGGTAAAGGGCCCCCTGCCCGAAGGCCAGACCAAACACCTCGAAGCAGTTCTCCGTGATTTCCCTGGCCACGCTGAGCAGGGAGGTCTGGGGTCTTCAGGCCCCCGGCCCCTGGCCAGGACTGCATGATCGACGTGTGCTTCGGGGGCGACAGATTCGCGGAGATGACGGACTACGAGTGAGCCGGGGGTCAGAGGAGGGCACGGTGCCGATGCTGATATGCTTTCCCTCTGTGCCGCCTTTTTGGACCTCAACGGGAGGCTCTCGTCGCGTCGCCGCGGCTGGATGCGCTTCGAAAGTTTGGCCAGAGCGCACCCCAGGCAGAGGTCTTGGGAGCACAGGCGAGACTCAGGGCAAGGACGCACGGGTGCACTTGGGGTGCCCTTGCCTCCGTGCGTCTGTGGCCCGCTCTTCGCACCGCTCACCGGCCAGCCCCTGGGGAGCGAGCAATGACAAGCATAAAACTCGGAGGTCCGCGCGGATTTCTCGGATCGGCGCTTCACCCCCCCTCACTGGCGCGCGGAGCGCGCCAGGGGCGGCGCCGGCGCGGATCCGAGAAATCCGCGCGGGCCTCCGAGTTGGTATGCTCATGTCATCCTTCGTTCCCCGAGGCCCGTCGTCCAAAAGAGCTGCCAACGTCAGCGTGGCGCTTGCGTCCTTGCCGCCCTTCCTTGCCATAGATTCGGGGGTGGACAGAACGCTCAACAGTGACACGTCGATTAGTGAATTGTCCGTTTTCGGTTCTCGAGAGGGCGCCGTCGCCGTTGTTTTCCAGGCTTGCGCCCGCCAGGTTTGGGCCTCAGGTCGTTTTCATTAAACCACGTTTTACTAAAGGGAGGTCTGTCCATCCCCGATTCTTTGCCATAGATTTCGCTCGTAGCCGCATCGGCACTGCTGGGTTGCCCCATGGGGGAGGCGAGCGCGCGTGCCTGGCCCGGGAATGCCTCGGGCGCACGGCGCGGGCGGCACGCGTCCGCCAGAGAGGAGGGGGAGGAGGAGGAGGAGGAGGAGGAGGAGGAGGAGGAGGAGGAGGAGGAGGAGGAGGAGGAGGAGGAGCAGGCAGGAGCAGGAGCAGGAGCAGGAGCAGGAGCAGGAAGGAGGAGGAGGAGGAGGAGGAGGAGGGAGGAGGAGGAGGAGGAGGAGGAGGAGGGAGGAGGGAGGGAGGAGGAGGGAGGAGGGAGGAGGAGGGAGGAGGAGGAGGGAGGGAGGAGAGGAAGGAGGGGAGGAGGGAGGAGGGAGGAGCGAGGAGCGAGGAGGGAGGAGGGAGGAGGGAGGAGGGAGGAGGGAGGATGGGAGGAGGGAGGAGGGAGAGAGGAGGGAGCGGAGCGAGGAGCGAGGCGAGAAGGGGGAGGGGGAGGAGGAGGAGGAGGGAGGGAGGAGAGGAGGGGGGAGGGAGGGAGGAGGGAGGAGGAGAGGGAGGGGGAGGAGGAGGAGGAGGAGGGGGGAGGAGGAGGAGGCGAGGAGGAGAGGAGGAGGAGGAGGGGAGGGTGAGGGGGAGGGGGAGGGGAAGGGGGGAGGGGGGGAGGGGAGAGTGAGGAGGGTGAGGAGGGTGAGAAGGAGGAGGGGGAGGAGGAGGAGGAGGAGGAGGAGGAGGAAATGGAGGAGGAGGAGGAGGAGGAGGAGCAGGGTCGGGAGCAGACCCAGCGCTCGTCGAAGATGGAAGAAGAAGACGAATCAGCTCAAGCATTTGCGAATAAGCAGTGCACTGAGAGTCAGGGTCAGGACGGGGCCCGGGCAACGGCGAGGCGACGGCGTCGCTTCGAACTGATCGTTTCCCTGCTGCAGAGGGAGAGAGTTCCGGGGAGAAGCAGGGGTAGTCAGCAGAGGATTGACAGAGGAGGGTAGAGGAGGGGGCGCAGGGAGTTGCAGGAAGGGAACGGGAACATGACAGTCAGACACATGCTCGGCCTTTGAGCAGCAGAGCAGGAGCAGCAGTCGAAAAAGAAAATGAATGATCATTGGCGGAGGTCCGCTCTTCGATCTCCTGGATTTGCGCTGCGCGCCACGGCGGCGGGTTCAGCGCAGATCCAAGACTTCCACCCGAGCCTCCGCAAATGGTATGCTCGCTAGGCTGTTTGTGCTCTCCCGTGGGTATGAGGAACGAGCTCCTCCGCCATCGAGGACGCTTGTCCCACGGCGGCTGGAAAGCTTATACAGTCCACCCGCATAGTAAGGATGGGCAATGTTCCCAGGGGTACCATTGCATCCTTGCCCCTTCGGCACATCCTTCCCGACTTTCGCTGACCAGCCTCGTTTGGAAAGCGTTCGTGCGGGCCTCCTCATCATGCAGGTTGACTGAACCTTCCACGACCGCGTCGGCAAGTACGAGTATAAGCTGTCCAGCCGCCTCGTGACAGGCGTCCCCATCTGTCAGGAAAGTTCACGGAAAACCGTGCTTCGCCCGCTAGCGAAGGGCAGACGTTCCAGGCCGCACGCAGCGCCGCGAAGATACTCGCGCCTCGCGCGGGGCGGCATGCGCCAGAGGTGTCTCGGAAGGAGGAGAAGGAGAAGGAGGAGGAGGAGGAGGAGGAGGAGGCGAGGAGGAGGAGGAGGGAGGAGGAGGAGGAGGAGGGGAGGAGGAGGAGGAGGGGAGAGGAGGAGGAGGAGGAGGAGGAAGGAGGAAGAGTAGGAGGGGGAGGAGGGGGAGGAGTGGGAGAAGGAGGAGGAGGAGGAGGAGGAGGAGGAGGAGAAGGAGGAGGAGGAAAAGGAGGAGGAGGAGGAGGAGGAGGAGGAGGAGGAGGAGGAGGAGGAGGAGGAGGAGGAGGGGAGAAGAGAAGACGACTGCGCGTCGCGCAGCGAGGGCGCGATGTCCGAAGTGTGGATGCTCGGGATTTTCTCTGAAGTTTCGTTCCGTCGCCGCCATCGCCGCCATCGTCACGGGCAGGGGGGAGAGGAGGAGGGTTGCCAGCGCGGTACACCACGCTCGATGTTTAAGAAAACACAGTTTTGCAGCCAGAGTCTCGAAATTTCTTGTCCTATGTGGTTCGGTGGGCCCCACTTGGGCCCCACTTGGATTCGGCTCGGGCCCCACTTGGGGGGGCTCGGGCCCCACTTGGGCCCCACTTGGATTCGGCTCGGGCCCCACTTGGAGGGGGCTCGGGCCCCACTTGGGCCCCACTTGGATTCGGCTCGGGCCCCACTTGGGCCCCACTTGGATTCGGCTCGGGCCCCACTTGGAGGGGGCTCGGGCCCCACTTGGGCCCCACTTGGATTCGGCTCGGGCCCCACTTGGGCCCCACTTGGATTCGGCTCGGGCCCCACTTGGATTCGGCTCGGGCCCCACTTGGATTCGGCTCGGGCCCCACTTGGGTTGGGCTCGGGCCCACATTCATGCACATACCGAGCCCCCGGGCCAGACCCTCGACATTTCTTAATGATAATTAAGAAACCTGCCGGCGCGAGACCATGAAGTTCTTAACCCATGATTTCTTAACCATTTCGCGTGGTGTAGGAGCCAGAGGAGGAGCATAGGGTTGCGGAGGATGAGCAGGATCCGTCCTCACGGTTGTTGGGAAGTGGATCGGCGGCGAACGAGGGGTGGAAGGGAGAAGGAGGAGGTTTTCTCAGAAGGTGGTGGGGCTTCTCGCCGGGCTTGTAAGAAGTTTTCCGTGTCTCTGGGGAAGGCTCATAACATTTCTCAGAAGGCCAGGGGGGCTCCGAGCTTTCTAAAAAGGCCCGCCCCCTCTCACTTCCGCCCTGGGCTCGCCGACGAATGTAAGACGCATGGGCCCGGCGAAAGGGCGAGGGCCACATTAGAACACGGCCCGCCAGCCGTCCATGTAATCGTTGGCACGTGTTCTGGTTACGGGATCGTGCAGTCGGGCCGCTGAAGAGGCAACCCTTGTCGTTCGGGAGGGGTTCGGTGCTCCTTCGTGGTTCAGGCGTTCTTCTCGGGTGTTCCTTAGGTGTTCTGTGGGGCATCGAAGTTCGACGAATGCAAGAAAAAGGGACGTCGCTCCTTGCCGAAGGTTTCTCGCGGCAGCGCTTCGCCCGCACGCCGCGAGGAGGTGTCCGGGGAAGCGCAGGGCCGCCCTGCCGACACGCTTGGCGGTGCGGCCGGGAGCCGTCGAGTGCAGCTGTGGAGGAGGGAGTGGACGAGGGTCGGGAAACAAAAAGTGGCATGAACATAAAAGCTCGGAGGTCCGAGTTTTTGTTTTTATGCCACTTTTTGTTCCCCTAGAGGGGGAGGAGGACCACGGCAGGGACGGGGGAGGACGGGCAGGAGAAGGAGAATGCTCTGGATATCTCCTGCAGCTCTCGGAGCACGGCTGGAACGGACGCACAGACGCCCGAGTGCACCCCCGCACGCCTGCGACCCTCCCCCCCCGAGACATTGGTCTCGTCCATCTTCTCGGGTGCTAAGGAGGTTCAAGCAGTGGCGAAGCGTCCTGGCTCGCTTATAGCTCTACCAAACAATGTTCCGAGAACCTTGTGTGGTTTCCACGAAATGTTCTTAGAACATTTCTGGTTGGGACTGTCTTGGTTCAACACATCGGGTTTATGTGCTAAGAACAGTGTTTTTGCTCTTGGAACACTTTTGGGTTTCTCAGCACATTTTGTGGTAGGACTTATAGGAATGCCTGGACGGTCGGTCCCTGCTCAAGAGGTGCCCGCAGGATTTCGAGAGAAACCGATGAGCTACACTGAAGTCGGGCCTGTCCCCCTACAGAGGGATTTTCGACGAAAAATAAAAAAAGAAACTCAAAAATAGCAAAACAATTGTACAAAAATAGTCGGTGGAGTTTTTTTTTGTACTGTTTGCCCCTTTGGGAGTATTTTTGAATATTTCTATTTCTCGTCAAAAATCCCTCTGTAGGGGGACAGACCCGACATAAAGCTAAACAAAAAAGGTGCCCGCAGGATGTCCAGGGAGCCCCCCGCGGCCTCCGGAGCGCGCCCTTTATACGAGGCCCCTGGAGGGCCCCAGGGGATCCAGTGGTGGCGCGGGAGGCAGAAGACGCCCTGAGCCAGGAATGCGCCTGGAGCCCTCGATCCTCCCTCCTCGTCCTCCCTGACCTCCTCCCCTTGTCTTTCTGTTCCTCCTCCTCCCCCTCTCCTCCTCACTTTTTACAGGTCTCGCAGTGCACGGATCCAGACACCTCAGACCCTAGAGGTCATCCCTCCTCCCCTTCTTCGATGCGGACACAGATGTAGAATCACCAGCGGTGCAGATCGACATTCCCCAATCAGTGCTTGCACCGAAGGGATCCTGGCGGAGATTGAGAGATCTGGCGAACGTGTCCCGCCGATGCTGGTGGCCGGCTGGGTTCCCGGGTTCCCGGCTCTGGGTTCTTGGGTTACCGGGTTCCTGGCCAGTGCGTCATTGGTTCCGGGCCGATTTCGGTGGGTTCCGGGTTCCCCGGTTCCCGGGTTCCCGGTCGATCTTTTTCTTGATTTTTGTGACCGATCCCACGACCCACAAACCGTCCATGGATTGGTTTTTTTTCTCTGGTCCGATGATGAGAATTAGACACCAGGGGCCAACGCAACTACATAGAGCGTGAAGCATGACCACGCAAGCCGGTTTCTCCTCCCAGTCATTTGCCCGGGCCCCACCGCGCCGCCTCCAAGGCAGAGCAAAGAAGGGAGCCTCCGCCCACAGGGGGAGGAAGTTCAGGAGGAAAAGAAACACACAGACACAATTAATCGTCGACTCCCTAGAAAATATGGGAAAATATGGGAAGTGGGGGGGAAGACAGAAACCCAGAAAATATGCGAAAATATGGGGAATCTGTTTATTTGTATGTATTTATTTGTGTGTCCTGGGACCCCTTCAGAAGTGAAAGAGGAGGAGGCGGACGACGACGACGAGCAGCCCACCAGAGCACACGGACGCCCAGCCTGCAGGGCAGCGAGACACCAGACCGCCAGACCAGTCGGTGGGGGGGATGAGGGGACGAGGAGGAGGAGGAGGGGGAGGAGGAAGAAGAGGACGAGATGAGGGTCAGGGATGAGGAGGAGGGAGGCAGGGATAGAGGAGGTGGGGGAGGGGGACGACGAGTAGCCCGCCAGGGCGCGCGGCTGCCCTTGTCCTCCAGGGCCAGGGAGGCACCAGACCGCTCGAGGGACAAAGGTGCCCCGGGCGGCGGTGAATCGGCCTCCAGCTTTTTTTTGCTCATCCTCTCAGTCAGTGCCGAGGGCCTCCTCCTCCTCCTCCTGCCCCTCCTCCCTCCTCCTGCTCGGCAGAGGGGGATAGGGGCAGGGGGAAGGCGTCTTAGAAGCACCCCCTTCTTCTGTTCGAAGGCGCGGGCCTTGCCTGCAGACGAAGGGCTGGCGCCTTCCAAGAAGCAGCCTCCTTCCGAGAAGCCCTGCCCCCCTCCCCCATGCCACCCTCTGCACGCCGCCAGAGGCGCGCGGACGACCTTGGACCTCTGGGGCGGCCTGCGGCGGGTTCTGTTGGCGGTCCCGCGGGGCCCTCTTCCCGAGGGAGGCGGCGGTCCCGCGACCCCCCCTCTCGGCGGCGAGAGCCCCCCGGGGGTGGAAGCCAGGTCGTCCCAGAAGGCCCGCAGGGCCTCGGGCCTTCGGGGAGCTCCCGGAGCACCCCCCCGCAGAAAGCCGGGAGCCTTGCTGCCCGGTGGCTCCGGGGTGCGGTCCTGGAGGGGTGGTGCCCTGAGGACGGGGTGTCTGGAGCACATCCGCCCCTGGATCCCTTCCTGTACCCTCAGGGCCCCACCTCGCAGGACCCCGTCCCCGAAGCACCGATTCCCCGGAGGCCGAGAGGGGCCTCTATGGGAAGCCCCGCCGCCCTCTGAGGCCTGCTCCCTCGCCAACGTCCCCCCCACCCCCCGGCACGCCGCCGAGCCTTGGCACCGCTCGGTGCCCGTCCTGCACTCTTCGGGCCGGACGAAAGGGGGGGATTGGGAAAGGGGGGGTTACGAAATCTGCTGCATGCAGCTGGTTTCGGCCCCACCGAGGGGCCCATTCCTCGATACATGGGCGCCTCCTGGCGCCGGGAGGCGCCGGGAAGATCAGCTACGTGAGCTGATTCTCAAGCCCACCCCTTTGCTATCCCCCCCCTTTCACCCGACCCGAACTCTATGCACGCGGAGCCCGGCCTCTTGTGGGGGGAGACCCGGCCGTCCCCACCGTCGCCCCCGACCCGGGCGGTGGAGAGGACGCGCAGCCGATCTTGGCAGCCCTCCACTCCCAGACTGAAGTCGGGCCTCTCCCCCTACAGACACGGGGAGTTTCGAGGAAAACAAAACAACAATACCCCCAAACAGGTCAAACAATACTCAAAAAATAGACCCCTGACTATTTTCGGATATTTTATTATTTTGGGGGTATGTTTTATGTTTCGTCGAGAATCCCCCTAGAGGGGGACACGCCCGACTTAATCCCAGACCCCCTCGAGTCATGAAAAAAGTCACGACTGGAAGTTTTTCGCTAACCGAGCACGGGCGATAATAATTTACCCCCCTTTCTCCCCCGTCCAATAGGATTTAATTGTGGAGAGGGGCGCGGAGGCCGATCTTATCATCCACGGGGAAAGTTGCGAATCGAAGTTGCTATCATCTCATGTTGACCAGCAACAGCATCAAACACGCTTCCTTCTTCTTTTCCTTTTCCTTATTATCTGCCTTATTAGTTTCCTTTTCCTTCTCTTCCTTCTCTTTCTCCTCCTTCCAGGGTCCGAACTTTATTATCCCCAGGTTTTTCATCCCCCGCGGGGTCCCACCATGGACCCCCGACATGCGAGGTTGAAAACGATAAAACATTATAATGTGTTTTACAAAGAAAAACATCAGGGCCCGAATCCACACATTTTTTAACATCGATCCTGGGAGGGTCCAGCGCAAGAGAGGTTTCTTGGCCAGATCGGCCAAGGACCTCTCTTGCGCTGGCAAGATGTAGGCACGAGCCTCGAGATCTCTCGAGTCAGCCTTGTGCCGAGCGCCTGCTGGCAAGTTGTGTAGCCACGAACCTCGAGATCTCTCGAGTCAGCCTTGTGCCGAGCGCCTGCTGGCAAGTTCTATAGCCACGAGCCTCGAGATCTCTCGAGGCAGCCTTGTGCCGAGCGCCCAACATCACCATCATCGTCATCATCATCATCATCATCATCATCATCATCATCATCATCATCATCGTAATCGTCATCGTCATCGTCATCGTCATCGTCATCGTCATCGTCATCATCATCATCATCATCATCATCATCATCATCATCATCATCATCATCATCATGTCAGTATCCTCGTCCTCGGGAAAATATTTTGTTATCCCCACCAGAACCCCGAACTTCGCCCGCACTCTGTTATTTTCAGCCTCGGTGGGGGCCATTACCAGGCCTCGGGACAGTCAAGAAACGACTCAGGATGAGAAACCGGTCCCAGGGAAGGGGTCGAGATCTTTGGGGGTCGACGTCATGAAAACATATGACGTCGGGGGTCTGGGTTGTCGTCGCCTTTGCAAGAGCGCCTTTCTGCCGCTTCTGCTGGCAGGGGGGGCGGTTCAACAGCCCCCCCCTCAGGAGCGAAAGAAGGACGTACACGTACATAAATCCACGCTGTTTCGAAGGTACGCATGGCACAAGCGTTCGTAACACGAGGTTGGTCTCGCGGACTGGGGAGCCGTATTCATGTACGTGGTTATACGCGTACGTCCTTTCTGGGCTCCCTACCCCCTTCCCCAAAACCAGGGGGGGTGTCGGACCCCCCCCCCCGCCCCGGGAAAATAAGTCGGGGGGCGGACACCCCCCGCCCACGGGAAAAATAGCGGGGGGGGTCCAGCACCCCGCCGACCCCCCGCCCCTTGGCAAGCCTAGTGGGGGTGTCCAGAGCCTCCCACCTCGGCTAAAATCCTCGGGGGGGTCCACAGTCCCCCCCCACCCTGACGTCGACGACGACGACGCCGAGGACAGCAACGACGGCGACGATGACGACGATGACGACGATGACGACGACGACGCCGACGGAATCGCACGACGCACAACGCACGACGAACCTGGCGCCGACGACGACGAAGACGACGACGACGACGTCGACGACAACGACGACGACGACCACGACGACGACGACGCCGATGACGACGCCGACGACGACGACGACGACGACGACGACGACGACGACGGCGACGACGACGACGACGACGACTACGACGCCAACGATCCGACGACGACGACGACGCCACCACACAACGCACGACGACGCTGGCGCCGACGACGACGACGACGACGTTGACGCCGACAACGATGACGACGACGACGACGACGACGACGACGACGACGCCGACGGCGCCGACGACGACGACGACGCCGCCGCCGTCGACGACGCCGCCGCCGCAGCCACCGGCGACGACGCCGACGACGAACACGACGACGACGACGAGCAGAGTAGAGTGGAGTAGAGCAGGCGCAGAGTAGAGTATAATAGGTGCAGAGTTCTAGGGAAGAGTAGAGCCGAGTAGAGTAGAGTGTGATACGTTTGCGGAAAGTAGAGTATGGTGGAGTAGAGTAGGGAGGTGTAGATCTGATTAGAGCAGGGAAGGATTCGACCAGAGATGAGTAGAGGGGAGGAGTAGAGCAGAAATATAATACACCAGATCTCAGTAGAGTAGGGTAAAGTAGAACCGAGTTGGAGCAAAGTGGAGTAGAATACAGTACCTATACGACCACCCTTCGGGAGATAAGGAGGTTCGGGGGGGAGGGGGAACCAACGTCTCATTCGATCGGTCTCACTATCGATATCACTATCGGTCTCGCTCGATCGATCTCACTCGATCGATCCCATAATCGATCTCGCTCGGTCTATTTCATTCGATCGATCTAACAATCGATCTGACGATCGATCTCACAATCGATCTCACTATCGATCTCACAATCGATCTCACATTTGGTCTCGCTATGGATCTTACTATCGATATCACAATCGATCTCACAATCAACGTCATCATCATCGTCATCAACGTCATCAGCATCATCATCATCATCACCATCATCATCATCATCATCAGCATCGGGACATCATCTTCACCTCATCATCATCATCAACATCATCATCATCACCAGCATCATCATCATCATCATCATCGGGACACCATCATCGTCACCATCATCAACATCATCATCATCGGGACACCAGCATCATAATGATCGGAACACCACCATCAGCATCATCATCATCTCATCATCACCATCATGAACAACATCATCAACATCATCATCAGTGGGACACCATCATCATCAGCAACATCAGCATCACCGGGATACCATCATCCTCGTCACCATCATCATCACCATCATCAACATCGTGACACCATCATCATCATCATCATCATCAATATCAGCATCATCAACATCAGCATCATCATCACCATCATCGGGCCACCATCATCAACATCATTACTATCACCTCATCATCACCCTCATCATCAGCATCATCATCATCATCGGGACACCATCCTCGTCATCATCAACATCATCAGCATCAACATCATCATCGTCATCGGGACACCATCATCACCATCATCATCGGGACACCATCATCATCATCATCTTCACCATCACGTCATCATCATTTCATCATCACCAACATCATCAGGATCATCAACATCATCAGCATCATCATTATCGGGACATCATCATCAGCAGCAACATCATCATCAACATCATCATCATCATCCGGACACCATCGTCATCACCACCATCACCATCATCATCATCATCACATCGTCAACATCATCATCATCATTATCATCATCATCATCATCATCATCATCATCATCATCATCATCATCATCATCATCATCATCATCATCATCATCATCATCATCGGGACACCGTCATCATCACCACCATCACCATCATCATCATCATCAACATCATCGACATCATCATCACCGTCATCATCGACATCATCATCACCGTCATCATCGGGACACCGACGGGACACCGGCGGGACACCGCGCGCCACCGGACGCCGGAAGGGAATCATTTGGTCCGGCCGCGCCTCAGCCACAGCGGGACACCGGCCTGACACCGCGCGCCACCGGACGCTGGAAGGGAGTCATTTGGTCCGGCCGCGCCTCAGCCACAGGAGACTTTCTTCTCGCCCGCCCATGAAGCTTCGCCTCGCCCGCACGCACGGCACGCACGAATTCGAAACCGAAACCGATTTCCCGGTAGGGGGGCTCTCCGTTCCACTTCGATCTCACCCCCTCACCTCCGATGTTGGGGTACGGTATGGTGGAGTAGGGCCCTAAAAAGTGGGCCAGAGGAGAGTAGAGTAGAGTAGAGTGGAGAAGGAGTAAAGAAGAATTAGAGCAGAGTGGAGAAGAGTAGAGTGTGTCAGGGCATGGTAGAGCAAAGAAGGATAGAGCAGAGAGGAAAGAGCGCGCCCGTGGCACATTTTTTTCACTGGAATGGAGGCCTGGCTTGAAGCTCCTCCTCTTCCTACTCCTCCTCTTCCTCATCCTCTTCCTCCCCCTCCCTTGGAAAAGGGGGGGCTACTACTACTACTACTACTATTACTACTACTACTACTACTACTACTACTACTACTACTACTACTACTACTACTACTACTACTACTACTACTACTACTACTACTACTACTACTGCTACGACGGCGACGACGACGACTACTACTACTACTACTAATGATATTTCGACTACTGCTACTACGACTACTGCTACTACGACTACTGTTGCTACTTACTCGTTTTCACTAAACCACGTTTCATTAAAGGGGGGTCTGTCCATCCCCGATATGAGAAGTGGGGGGGAAGACACAAACCCAAAACATGTGGGAAGATGTGGGGGAGCTTTGTGTTTGTGTGTGTATCTCTCTGCGTGTGTGTTCCATGGCCCCTTCATCTCCCATCTCCCGGGCGACTGGGCAAGACCGTGGGCGGCTGGGTGCTGTTTTCCACGGCCCTTCCGGTGCCCCGGCGGGTGGAGCAGGTATAGCCCTGCTGCGTGCAAGATTCATATCCATATCCAGTGCCTCTTGGACTTTTTCGGAAGCGGCGCCACAAGGCCGAGGCGCACTGGATATGGATAAAGATCGAGCCTCTAGGGGGCAAATTTGTCCATATCCAGTGCGCCTCGGGTTTCTTGGGAAGGGAGCCCGAAACTCCATACTGCAGTGGATATAGACAGAAGTATTGCCCGCACCTGCTCCCTTGAGAATCACAGGGTGGGGAGATAAAAAAAGGGGTTCGTCAGAGGAGGAAGATAAGGAGAGGAAAAGCACACACAGACAATGAATCGTCGACTCCCAGGAAAAGATAGGAAACTATGGGAGGTGGGGGACTCTTCAGAAAAGGGAAGTGGGGGCCTCTTCAGACGCAGCGAGGTAGAAGCTGCTGCGTTCAGGGTACTCCGGGTTTGCCCTCGGGTGCACCCCGCGCGCGGGTTTTCAGGGTTGGGTTGCGAGGGTTTCTTGCGGCCGCGCCCGCACTCTACTTCTGCCCTCCGCCCGTTTTCCCCTTGTCGGGCCTCATCGGAGGCCCTCGTCGCCACCGCTGGATTCGCCTCGAAAGTCTGGTCCGAGCGCACCCGTGGAGAGGTCCGGGGAGTATAGCGGCATCGGTGCCTTTTGGTTTCCCCAGTTCGGGGGGGATGGTAGGTTGATCGTCCCTGCAACTCGCGGGGCCCTGCCACGCGTTCGTGAATCGGGAAGCTGAAGTGGTGAGAATGCCCGAGCCCTGCCACACGTGCGCGGCTCGGGAGCAGTAAAAACAGAATGTGAGAGTCCCATGGCCCTGCCACACGTTCGTGGGGTAGGAAAGCTGGAATGGTGAGAATGCCGAATCCCTGCCACTCGATCTCGATAATGTTGCTACTCAACATACGCAGATAGCAACTTCGATTCGTTTTTTCCCTGGCGGCAGCGAAGATCGGCCTCGCCGCCCCTTTCTCCCGACAAATTCTGTCTTGGCCTGGGTTAATCAATTTTCAGGTATTAAGGGGGGGGGGGGCCCTCTATTATCCGGGGTGCGCGGTTATCGGAGGTCTTCCAGGCAAAACAAGGAACCTCACCCACAACTAAGTGGATTTTTCGGGAGGGCCCTTCGGGCGAAAACCCACCGACCTCGACATGATCACGTTGGCTGTGGTTGTGGTCGATTTGGCCGTCTTGGGACGCCGCATCGAGCACACCTGGAGCGGCGATCGACGCCCTTGGCGGCGCCTCTGGCGCTGGCGCGCTTCCCGCGCCAGGGAGGGTGTCCAGCGGCGATCCACGGAACTCGCGCGGAGCTCCGAAGGTTTATGCTGTGGGGAAAACACACAGGGAAAAAACATACAAAAAACACACACGTGGGAAAAACACACACACACACACACAGTGGGTGTGTGTGTGCTGTTTGTTCCCACAGTGTGTTTTTGTGTGTGTGTGTGTTGTTTGTATGTGTTGTTTGCGTTTTTGTTTCCCAACCTTGTGTTTGTTTGTTTTTTGTGTGTCTGTGTGTCTGTGTGTGTGTCTGTGTGTCTGTGTGTGTGTGTCTGTGTGTGTGTGAATGTGTGTGTGTGTGTTTCCACAGTGTGTGTGTGTGTGTGTGTGTGTGTTCCCACTGGTGGTCTCTCTTGCCCTAGTTCTGCTCGTCTGCGCAGGGTAGCTGGTGCTATGCGGCAGGCTCGCGGCGCGCAGACGCGGCGCTTCGACCCCAGCGCGGGCGCTCTCGAGGTCGGACGCCGCCAGCGGCCCCGAGGCGGCCGCTGTTAGGGGGCCACGTGCTGCTGGAGTCGGGGGCGGAGAAGAGGGGGGTGATGACTAGGGGGGGGTGGATATCATGGCGTTGGCCATGCTATTTCCTCAGATCTCATGGCGCCTCCTCTTATTTCACTGCATCCCCGGCCCCCCCGCTGGGCCGCGCACATGCCGCCGGTCATGATTTGCCCCCCCCCTCTTGGACACCCCCCTCTTGGCCGCTCCCGACGGAGCGCCCCGGTCGTTCTCGAGGGTGAGCGTTCCACGCGGCGTCTGAAGCAGGTCGCCAGTGTTAGGTCGGGCGTGTCCCCCTGCAGGCGGATGCTGGGCGGAAGATAGGACACAGTCGAGACATTTTCCAGCACAGTCAGGAAGGGGATCGTCCCCACGTTATGCTTTGACGGTTCTTGAGTTTTCCTCCTGCAGAGGGACAGGCCCGACTTGACGCCAGCGCACGGGCCTGCCGCAGGAAGCCAGCGGCAAGTCCCTTTGCCCAGGCGTCGCCTGGAGGGGCTGTCTCACACGCGCGCATGCGCCGCGCCCCGGGCCCGCGCCGCGCAAATCGGCTCCCCCGGCCGCGCTGCAGCAGTGGTGGGCGCGGGCCCAGAGTCCCCTGAGTTGAGCGGTCTGTTCCCTGAGCGTCACCGCGGCTACTCGCTGGAGATGCCGAAAAGTAGGTCGGGCTTGTCCCTCTCCAGGAGGAGTGTTCAAGAATAGTCCAAGAGCAGCCTGGGGACGATTTGTTTTGACTACTCCTGAATCAGTGTCAGCATTTTGACTATATGTGATTATTTTTTGACTAGTTCTGACTATTTCTAACTCTTTGTTGACCTGAATCTTGATATTTTCGACTATTTCTGACTACTTTAACGTTTCGCCCAAGACCCGCCTGCAGGAGGACATGCCCGACCCAAGCCGCCGAAGGAGCGACAAACGTACGTCAACACATGCCTGGGGCGGCGCCGGAGGCGCCCGCCCGCCGGGCGGGGTGCCAGTGCCGAGGCGAGAAGTCCGGGCGGATCTCCTCCTCCTCCCCCCCTCCTCCTCCTCCCCCTCCTCCTCCCCCTCCTCCTCATCCTCCCCCTCCTCCTCCTCCTCCTCCTCCTCCTCCTCCTCCTCCTCCTCTTCCTCCTCCTCCTCCCCCTCCTCCTCGGTGCGGCGAAGAGTGCCGCGGACTCGTGGCGCACGGTCGGTGCTCCAGGCGCGCGGCCCCGCTCGAGCAGCGCAGGAGCGGGAGGGGCCCCGGCAGAGGGGCACGCGGTGGCGTCGGTGCCGTGCCCTGCCGTGGGGATCGGGCTTCCGTGAGCCGGATCTCGGTGCAGCTCCCGAGTCCTCGAGCAGTGGCGAGGCGTCCTGGCTCGCCTACAGCCCCACCAGACAAAATGTTCTAAGAACCTCTCGTGGTTTCCACGAGCTGTTCTCAGAGCATGTCTGGCGGAGTCTGTCTTGTTTTAGCACATCGGGCTTGTGTTCTAAGAACATTGCTTTTGTTATTCGAACATTTGGGGGGTTCTAAGAACATCTTGTGGTATGGCTATAGGAATGCCGGGACGGTCGGTCCCTGTTCAAGATTCCGGGAGGCCACGATAGGTCACCACGATAGGTCACCTGGACGTCGACGCTTCAGCACACCGAAGCCATCCAGTTCAGCAGCTCCGACTGCCTCAATGACGGGGCCAAAAAATATACACCACCACCTCCCCAACCCCTCCCTCGCCCAGGGAAGAAAGAGGGAGGGAGGAAAGTAGAGGAGGGAGGGGGACTGGAGGTGGTGGTGGTGTGTATTCTTGGGGCCCGCATCAATGGCCATGGTGATACCAGGTTTCGCAGGACAGAGAAAGGTCAGTTTCGGAGGGAGGTTCCCGCGGATGCTTGGGTCGGCGCTGGACCCCCCTCCCCGCACCCTTGGCGGAGCCTCCGGCACCGCCCCCGGCGCGCGGAAGGGGAGTAGGGAGGAGTAGACAGCGCCGATCCAAGGAGTCCGCGCGGACGTCCCAGAGGTTTTGTTCGAGGAAAGGTCAGACTCGAGTAAGCCGGAGCTCGGGTTTGCCGACGTTTTTTGACGAGCGCGTCCTGGATTTTCACGGCCCGGTTTTCGTGGGATCTTTGCAGCGGGAGTTCGCGTCAGATTTCAGATTGGGCCTCGTCATCATTTGCATGATGGCCCCGTCGGGCCAACCCGAGTCCCCCGTACCCGAGTCTTACGCCTCTCCGATATGTGCTCATCCCGTGTGCTGCTTCGCTCACATCGTTGGACTGAAGGGACTCTGGGGCCCGCGGGGCTGTCTCACTGCAGTCTGGCCGCCTCTCGGGCGTCCCCTGCGATCGGCCCCGACTGCAGGAGGGCTGCCCCTCGCAGAGGAGAACGCACTGCACAAGCCTGCACTTTGGGTCAAGCCGGGCATGTGCCTCTGCAGCAGGCATGTCCCAAACCAGTAAAAAAAATAGTCTGGGGACGACTCCTGGAATCTGTTTGCACTTTTGGGGTTCATTCTTGTCTGACTACAGTCGGGGCCCTAAAGAAGGAACCCTTTTCGTTGGGGAGGGGCTCCGCGTTCCTTGAAGTGTTTCACAGCTTGCCTCAGGCTTTCCTTATGTTTTCGACAAGAAATCGAAGGTTAACTTATGGAAAAAAGGGGCCTCCTTCCTTATTAAGGGCTCCTTAGGTCAACGCCCCGACTGTATGTTCTGGCCCTCGTCCAACAAGCCCGCCCGCAGGTGGACGCGGCGCCCGACGCGAAACTTTTGGGAGGTCTCCGCGCGGCCTTCGTGGATCGGCGCGGGCCCCGCCCCGCCCCCCCCCATCCTGTGTGCGCGGAGGGCGCGGGGGGGCTTCCGGCGCCGATCTCCTCCTCCTCCTCCTCCTCCTCATCCTCCTCCTCCTCCTCCTCCTCCTGGTCCTCCTCCTCTTCCTCCTGGTCATCCTGGTCCTCCTGGTCCTCCTCCTCCTCCTCCTCCTCCTCCTCCTCCTCCTCCTCCTCCTCCTCCTCCTCCTCCTCCCGAGGCCTCCGGGCGGACCTCGGGGCGTCCGTGCGTCTCAGAGGGGCCCCCAAGCCTGACCTTCCAGGAGGGCTAAGACATAGCACGCGGCTCGAAGGCCTATCCCAGAGCTATTCCACGTCTTGGTGTTAGGCTGTTTCGTTTCGTTTTTGTATGTTTTTAGGCCTCCCGTGCTAAACCATAGCTCTCTGGAAGGTCAGGGCAAGCGGGGGTGGTGACCGCACCGCGCGGCGAGTCGGTGGGGGTGCGGGGTCACCGCACGGTTCGGGGACTCGGGCCGTCCTCCGGGGACGTCTCGGGCGACGGGGGCCTCCAGGGTCCCAGGACCGTGCGGTGATGGGCCGTGCGGTGAGGTCTTGGGGGATTTCGAGGTCACCGCACGGTCTGTCACCGCACCGTTGCGGGACTCCAACAGTCTTGTGCCGTTGTGCTCTCCTCCTTGGGCGGCGAGCCCAGTGGGGAAGCGTGGGGGGCAGGCCTCCTCGGAAGGCGGCGGGGGGCTCCTCGGAAGCCCCCCTCTGGCCTCCTGGGAGGCCGTCGGTGTCTTCGGAGAGAAGGCCCACAGACTCAAGCAGTGGCGAAGCGTCCCGGCTCGCGTATAGCCCCACCAAACAATGTTGTAAGAGCCTTTTGTGGTCTCCACGAGATGTTCTTAGAACATTTCTGTTTGAGGCTGTATTGCTTTGCCACATCGGGCTCCTGTTCTAAGAACACTGTCTTTGATATCAGAACATTTTGGGGCTCTAAGAACACTTCGTGGTAGGACTATGGGCATGCCGGGGCGGCCCGTCCCTGCTCAATATAGACAGCTTCACGCCAGGGCCGGAAGGCCCTCCGAGGAGCCTCCCGCCCCCTTCGGACCTCCCCCCCCCGGGGGGGCTCGCCGCCGATACCCCCCCGGGTGCGACCCGTGTGCTCGCGCGCCCCGGGCCTCGGGCGGGCCCCTCCCCGGGGCGGCGCGGGGCCAGGCACGAGTCTAATCTCGGGCCGGGCGAAAGGGGAGGGATAGGGAATCGGGGATCCTCCTCCTCCTCCTCCTCCTCCGCCTCCTCCCCTCCTTCGCCTCCTCCTCCCCTCCTCCTCCTCCGCTTCCTCCTCCTCCTCCTCCTCCTCCTCCTCCTCCTCCTCCTCCTCTTTTTCATGGCGCCAACATCGCAGAGCGGATTTCGCCTGGAAAAGGACAGGGTGGGCCCGGAGTGTCCTGGAGAATGTCGTTCCGGTCGGGGCTCAGGAGACGGGGGTCAATGCAAACGGGGGTCAGCCAGGGCATTGGATCTTGCAGGATCCTGCGAAGACCCCCTCTGGCTGACCCGGGTCACAGCGAGCCGCTCGTGGCCGCGAGGCGGCCGAGCGCATATTGGCAGACCCGTGTTTGCGAAGACCTGCATTGCAGTTTTTTGTTCCTGCATTGCAGTTGTTTGGTCTCCTGCTGACCAGGGTCTGGATTGACCCGGGTGAGAAGATCCCCGAGGGAAAGGGGGGGGGGTACGAAATCTGCTGCGTGCAGCTGGTTTCGGCCCCGCCGCCAGGCCGATACATGGCGCCTTCCGGCGCCGGGAGGCGCCGGGAAGATCAGCTACACGTCGGCTGGTTCTCAAATCTCCCCCTTTTGCCATCCCCCCCTCTCGCCCAGCCCGGTCATCCAAGCTTCCCCGAGCGCATTCCGCTGCTCGCAAAGTGCCCACTCGCAGACGTCAGAGCGACCCACGGTTCGCCTGGACGCGGCGGGCCCACGGCGGATCCACGCCCTCTGCGAGCAGTTACGTTGCGAGTCGTGGAACGCGGTCGTCTAAAGCTACCCCTCGGCCGTTGGGGCCACCCCGCGGCTGCGGCGCCTGCAACACGCAGACGCGCCAGCGCGAGGAGGGAGGGACGGGAGGGACGGGAGGGGCTGCCTTCATGTCGGGCCTGTCCCTCTACAGGAGGGTGATTCCAAAAATAGTATAAAAAAGTATTCAAGGCCTGAGTGTAGGAGCAGCGCAATTCCGACGTGTATTCTGCATTGGGGCGGGTCGTGACCCGGACCTCGTCTTCATCCGTACGGTAGGGAGGAGGAAGAGGAGGAGGGATAAAATGAGGATGAGGAGGAGAAGGCTTCTCGGAGCTTCCTGCAGATCCCCTGGGAGCTCCCTGAAATCTTCTTGTGGGCATTTTGGGGGCCTCATGGGGCCTTTTGGTCCTTTTTGGGGGACTATGGAGGTCGCCTTGGGTGCCCCACTAGGCCGCGTTGGTGCTCTCTTGGGCCTCCTCGGGCTCTCCAGAAATGCCTCTTGGAAGTCTCTCGGGCGTCTTGGGGGCCTCTTGGGCCGTCTTGAGGCCCTCTTGGGCTATCTTGAGCCGTCTTGAAGCTCTCCGCGGAGGCTCTTGAGCTGTCTTGGGCCATATTTAGCCGTTTTGTTTGCGTCTTGGTTGTCTTGCAAGCCATCTTGGAGGCCATCTTGGCCGTTTGGAGGCCGAAAAGAGCGCCGGTGGGCAACTTCAGAGGGGAATGTTTTTCCGCCGCGCGCGATGCAGGGGGGTGAGTCGGCCCTAGAACATATAAAAAGCACTCCCAGATTTACCACAGAAGCGTTCTAATACGCCCATTCCGCGCGGGCACGATGGCGGATATGGCCGTGCAGGTTATAACGAGGTGCCTGGCGAGACCCCGCTTCGAAAATTGACCGCTCCATCTGCGTATCTCTTGCAACAGTTCTGCACGTCTGGTAGTTCTGCACAATTCTGCACCAGAAGTTCTCGAGCGATAGCCCCACATTGAAAAGGAGCCGTCCTCCATCTATGCAGCATGTGTTCAAGTTTCTGGTACAGTGGAGACCCATGCCAAGAAACACCCTGCTTGCCTCCAGGGTGCCCTGGGTTTCTCCGGTTTCGATTGCTTTTGCGATGGAGTGCGTGGCCTCCCACACCAAAAATATGAATGGACGTCCTGGGGTCTCAGGGTTGGGTTTCTTGCGGAAGATTTCTTGTGGTCGGGCCTCCACTGTATGACAAGTGGCACGTGCGCCACGATTCTTGCACAAGAAGGGAAGGGGAAGGTCGGAGGCGCGTGCCGTGCCGAAATAAAAAGGCGTCGGGGCGGAGGGGCGCGCTGGCTTGCGAGTGGGTGGGTGGGTCGCGGGGCAGAGGGGGCGCGCTGGCTGGTGGATGGGGGATGCGGGGGGAGTGTGCCGTGCCAAAATAGAAGGTGTTGGGCCAGAGGGGTGCGCCGTGCCAAATAACATGGATCGGGGCGGAGGGGCGCGCTGGCTGGTGGGTGGGGGGATGCGGAGGGGGTGTGCCGTGCCGAAAGAATGTGGGTCGGGGCGGAGGGGCGCGCTGGCTGGTGGGTGGGGGGATGCGGAGGGGGCGTGCCGTGCCGAAGTACAGGTGTCGGGGCGGAGGGGTGTGCCGTGCCGAAATAAAATGGGTCGGGGCGGAAGGCGCGCTGGCTCGCTGGCTGGTTGGCGGGGGGGGGTGCGGAGGGGGTGTGCCGTGCCGAGATGAAAGGCGTCGGAGCGGAGGGGGCGCGCGGGGGGGGTCTGCGGAAATAAAAAAATATCGGGGCGAAGGGGGTGCGTTGGCTGGTGGGTGGGTGGGGATGCGAAGGCGGTGCGCCGTGCCGAAATGAAGAGGTCAGGGCGGGGGGGCGCGCTGGCTGGTGGTGGGTGGGGATGCGGAGGGGAGTGGTGTGCCGTGCCGAAATACAGGGTCGGGTCAGAGATGTGGTGCCATGCCCAAGTAAACAGGTCGGGGCGGGAGGGGTGCGCTGGCTGGTGGGTAGGGGGAGATGCAGAGGGTGGTGCGCCGTGCCGAAAAGAAAGGTGTCGGGCGCAGGGCGCGCTGGCTGGTGGGTGGGGGGAGGAGGGGGTATGCCGGCCGTGCCGCAGTAACAGGGGTCGGGGCGGAAGGGGTGCGCCGTGCGAAATAAGGTTCGGGGCGGAGGGGCGCCCGGGGGGGGGGGGGCGGGGCGTGCCAACATAATTGGTCACGTCGGGGGCGGAGGGAACGCGCTGTTGGTGGGTTGCGGGGATGCGGAGGGGGTTGCCCGTGCCGGAAGGTAAGTTAGGGGTCGGGGCGGCGGGTGCGCCGTGCCGAAAATAAAAGTTCGGGGCGAGGGGGCGCGACGGGGGGGGGGCGGTCCGTGCCAAATTAAAGTGTCGGTCGGGGCGGAGGGAGCGCGCTGGCTGGGTGGTGCGGGGGATGCGCGGGGGGGCGTCCGAATAATAAAAAAAAGGTTTTGGCGGAAGGGTGCGCTGGCTGGTGGGTGGGGGGATGCAGAGGCGGTGCGCCGTGCCGGAATAAAACGGGCCGGGGCGGGCGGAGGAGTGTGCCGTGCCGACATACAGGTGTCGGGGCGGAGGGGTGCGCTGGCTGGTAGTTGGGGTGATGCGGGGGCGGTGTGCCGTGCCGAAATAAAGGGGGCGGGGGGCGGAGGGGTGTGCCGTGCCGAAGAAAGGGGTCGGACGGAGGGGCGCGCTGGCTGTGGGTGGGGGGGGATGCTGAGGGGGTGTGGAAGGGGGTGTGCCGTGCAGACTGAACAGGGTTGGTCAGGGGCGGAGGGGTGGTGCCGTGCCGGAATAGACAAGGGGGCGGGGCGGAGGGGGGCGCCGCGGGGGGGGCGTACCGAAATAAACGTGTCGTTTGGGGGGAGGGGGCGCGCTGGGGCTGGTGTGGGGGGGTGGCGGGGGGGCGTGCGTGCCGAAATAAACTGGTCGGGGCGGATGGGGCGCGCCTGGCTGGTGGGTGGGGGAGGGATGCGGAGGCGGTTTGCCGTGCCGAAATAAAGGGCGGGATGCGGAGGGAGTGTGCCGTGTCGAAAAAAAGTGTCGGGCGGAGGGGCGCGCTGGCTGGTGGGTGGGGTGATGCGGGGGCGGTGTGCCGTGCCGAAATACAAGGGTCGGGGCGGAAGGGTGCGCCGTGACAAATTCAAGGGATGGGGGCGCAGGGGCGCGTTGGCTGGTGGGTGGGGGGGGTGCGGAGGGGGTGTGGAGTGGGTGTGCCGTGCCGGAATAAAAAGGGTCGGGGCGAATGAGTGTGCCGTGTCGAAATAAAGGGGTCGGGGCGGAGGGGCGCGCTGGCTGGTGGGGTGTATGGGTGATGGAGGGGGTGCCGTGCCGAAATAAACTGGTCGGACCTTTGGGCACCCTGTGCAACATAGTAAACAAGGGTCGGGGCGGAGGGGCGTGCTGGCCTGTGGGTGGGGGGGTGCGGAGGGGGTGTGCCGTGCCGACAAAAAAGATATCGGGGCGGATGGGTGTGCCGTGCCAAAATCTACACGGGTCGGGGCGGAGGGGCGCGTTGGCTGGTAGTGGGAGGTGCGGAGGGGGTGTGCCGTACCGGAAAGACATCGGGGCGGAGGGGTGCGCCGTGCCGAATTATGAACGTCGGGGCGGAGAGCGCGCTGGCTGGTGGGGTTGGGGGGATGCAAGGCGGTGTGCCGTGCCGAAATAAAAGGTGTCGGGGCGGAGGGGTGTGCCGTGCCGAAACATGCAAATAACGGGTCGGGGCGGAGGGGCGGGCTAGTTGGTGGGTGTGCCGAAATAAAAGGGGTCGGGCGGGAGGGGGGCGCTGGCCGGATGGTGGAAATGCGGGGGGGGGCTTGCTGAAATAAAGGGGTGTCGGGCGGAGGGGCGCGCTGGCTGGTGGGTGGGGTGATGCGGGGGCGGTGTGCCGTGCCAGAATAAAAGGGGTCGGGGCGGAAGGGTGCGCCCCGACGGATTGAAAGGATCGGGGCGGAGGGGCGCGCTGGCTGGTGGATGTGGGGGGTGCGGAGGGGGTGGGCCGTGCCGAAATAAAGTGGTCGTGGCGGAGGGGTGTGCCATACCGAAATAAGCAACAAGGTCGAGGCGGAGGGGCGCGCTGGCTGGTGGGTGGGGGGATGCGGAAGCGGTGTGCGGTGCCGAAATACAGGGGTCGGGCGGAGGGGTGCGCCGTGCCGAAATAAAAAGGGTCGAGGCGGAGGTGCGCGCTGGCTGGCGGGTGGGGATGCCAGGGTGGGTGCCCGTGCCCGAAAATGGTGAAAAGGGGTCGGGTCGGGTGGCGCGCTGGCTTGTGGGCGGGCTGATGCGAGAGGGGGTGTGCCGTGCCGAAATAAAGTGGTCGTGGCAGAGTGGTGTGCCGTACGATACACAGGGGTCCGCGGGGCGGAGGGGGCGCGCTGGCTGGTAAGTGGGGGGATGCCGGGGGTGTGTGCCGTGCCAAAATATAAAAAAAAAGGGGTCGGGGCGGGGGGGCGCGCTGGGTGGTGGGCGGGGGGATGCGGAGGGGGTGTGCCGTGCCGAAATAATGTGGTCGCGGCGAAGGGGTGTGCCGTGCCGAAATAAAAAAAGGGTCGGGGCGGAGGGGCGCACTGGCTGGTGGAGGGGATGCGGGGGGGGGAGGGAGTGTGCGGTGTCGAAAGAATGCGGTCGGGGCGGAGGGGTGTGCCGCACCGAAATGAAGGGGTCGGGGCGGAGGGGCGCGTTGGCTGGTGGAATGTGTGGGTGAAGGAGGGTGTGCCGTGCCGAAATAAATTTGTCGGAGCTCTAGACACCCTGTGAAAGAGAAAAGTTGAGACAGGTCCCAGGAGAACGCCCAAGTTAAATAGCCAACCGCCCTCAACCCGCGCACCTGAGGAGGAGAAGGAATTGGAGGAGGAGGAGGAGGAGGAGGAGGAGGAGGAGGAGGAGGAGGAGGAGGGCGGAGGGAAAATGGGAGGAGTAGGGAGGGGGAAGGGTTAAGTCGGGCATGTCCCTCTACAGGGGGGGCATTTAAAGATAGTGAAAACAACGTACGGGGACGATGTTTCAACAGTTCCTGATGCCCGACTCAAGGGAAGGGGGGAAAAGGCGAAAGAGGAAAAGGAGGAGGCTTCCAGAAGTGTTGGAGATTTGGCGGGATGCTTGGGGGTGCAGTGGCAGAGGTTGGCTGCCCACACAGGGGGGGAGGGGAATGTCAGGAAGGGACGAGATGCAGTGGCGGAGGATGAAGTGATGGAGAAGGACGAGGAGGGCGGAGGAAGGATGAGGTGGGGTTGGGTGCATGGAAGAGGGGAGGATATGGAGGAAATGTGTGCGCGTGTGTGTATCCCTGTCGTGTTGCCTGCTGCGCTTCCGTGCGGGACCCGCCCCGGTCGGTGGTCGGTTCGTCCTCCCTTCTTCCCCGCCATCCATTTTTGGATGGCATTTGGTGTCGCCCCCTCTGTGCCCGGCGCGCGCGGGGCTGTGGCCGTTGCAATTGATGTTCTCCGCCTCTTCGCTGTGCGCGTGGCCGCGACCGCCAAAGTGTCTGTGTGTCTGTGTCTGTGTGTCTGTGTGTCTGTGTGTCTGTGTGTCTGTGTCTGTGTCTGTGTCTGTGTTCTGTGTGTGTGTCTGTGTGTGCATGTGTGTTATGTGTGTGCCTGTGTGTGTCTGTGTTTTGTGTGTGCTTGTGTGTTTGTGTGTTTGTGTGCGACGAGGGGTTTGCCGCGAGGCTCGCTCCGATGTTCAGAGGCTGAGACCGCCTCCGGCCTCTTGAAGGTCTCGGAGGGGGGAGGTGGAGGAAGAGGGTGAGGGGGAAGGACGATGAGGAGGAGGAGGAGGAGGAGGAGGAGGAGGAGGAGGAGGAGGAGGGCTGAGCAGGCGGGGTAGGAGGAGGCGTGAAGTGGGAAGGATCGCGAGATGCTTTCCCAGCGAATTGCCACTGCCTGCCCATAATGCGAATCTTTCCCGGGCGTCGGAGGCTGCAGGCGTGGTGATCCGAGCGCTCGGAAAAAATACTCCCGAGCCACCTTCTCGAGGCCGACCCGCGTCCCCTTCACCAACGCGCGCTCCATGGATTTGAAGCCCGCCTGCTCCCTCCCGCATCCGCATCGCATCTTTCCCGCCACCGTGCCAGCGCAGCGCTCGGTGCGGTGACGCTTCGAGCACCGCCAGAGAGGCCGTGACTGACATGCGTCAGTTCTCGTTCTCGGTTCTGGTCCTCAGAGGGCTATTCGGGCTGCCTTTAGGGTGATTGGGAATGTGTTGGGTGGCGATGGATTCCTCGAGCAATCCTGTAGTTCTCGCGCTGGGGAGAAGCAGCCGCTGGGTAGGTCAAGGGCAACGCTCAACGGAAAACGCCCCCATCCAAGTTCCTTGATCGAAGCCCAGATAGGAGCAAGCAAGACGGCAGTCACGACATGTGTGTCTTGTTAAGCCCGTTATGTTCGTACGTTGTCGGAGCATGATGCGGGGATCCTGGTAGTATCTGGGCGGTTCCTGGTGGCTCGTGTGGGGCCTCGTGGGGGCTGTCTAGGATTATGTTGGGCCGCCTTGGGATTAGATTGGGGCCTCTTGGGGCTGTTTCGGGGATCGATTTGGGCATACAGTGGAAACCGATGCCAAGAAACACCCTGCTTGCCTCCAGGGTGCCCTGGGTGTGTTTGATCTCGATGGTTTTGCAATGGGAAGCGTGACGTTCCCACACCAAAGGCCAATGGACGCCCTGGGGTCTCAGGGTTGCGTTTCTTGTGGTCGAGCCGCGACTGTACAGTCGGGGCGCTGAAGAAGGAACCCTTTGCGTTGGGGAGGGGCTCTGTGTTCCTTATTTGTTTCGCAGCTTGCCTTGGGTTTTCTTTGGGTTTTCTGTAGGAAATCGAAGCTTAACTTATGGAAGACAAGGGGCCTCGTTCTTTCTTTAGGGTTCCTTAAGTCAACGCCCCGACTGTAGGGGGGGGGGCCCTGGGCAACATGGGGCAGGCTGCAGCCTTGGGGCCGCGCCGTGCCCCAGGCGGCCGTTGCAGGGCCGCCTTGGGGCCTGCTGCCCGCAGGTCTCCACACGGGCCCCTCCCGGCCCCCCTCGGGCGCTCAGGGGTGATCTTGGGGTTGTTCGGGGTCTGGCTGGGGCCCTGTTTAAAGGTCCTGTCAGGGTGGCCCGCGCGGGCAGGACCTTCATTGGGCCCTGCTTAAACGATAAAGGATAATGTCCTGTCAGGTGGCCCGCGCGGGGCAGGACCTTCATTGAGGTCTCAATTGTCGAACTTGGCCTCCGCCGCCCAGTTCACGAACTCGTCCCGGTCTTGCTGCCAAGCTTCCCCAGCTGCAGTCGAATTTCACACACAAATCTTGGTCAACACAGAATCGCTGGGGCCCTGCTTGGTTCCACTTGGAGCTAACGTGGGCGATCGCGGCGCAGGCTCGAGGGCCAAGAGACCCATCGGAGGCGAAGAGGCGATGAGCCTCAAACCATGGGCACCAGACCCGTAGGTGCTTTTGAATGCTCGTGGAAGCATCCCGGGGGAGCGGAGAAGGAGGAGGAGGAGGAGGAGGAGAAGGAGGAGGAGGAGGAGGAGGAGGAGGAAGAGGAGGAGGAGGAAGAGGAGGAATGAGGTGGCTGCCCTGGACCACCGCGGAGCGGACCGCCCTGGGCCATCCAGGGGAAGTCCTGGCGGCATGCTGCGCAAAGAGTCGCACTCCTGGGGTGGCTGCTTCTCAAGGGGGGAGGGGCGGGGCCGTCGCCCGCTCGCGCGGTCGCCCCGAGGCCCCATGGCACCCAGTGGAGCCCGCGGTGGCAGGAAGTCCTCCTCCTCCTCCCTCCTCCTCCTCCTCCTCCTCCTCCTCCTTCTCCTCCTCCTCCTCCTCCTTCCCAGCCTCCATCCCTCTTCCCTGTCAAGAACTCCCCCCCAACCAACCAAGCGCTTGCAGTTCGCTCTCAGGCGCTGCCCTGGGGTCCTGCGCCGGTTCCCAGCCGCTCGCCATCGTCCCTGCGCCCCGGCCGCGCTCGCGGGTGCGCCCAGGCCTCGGCCCGGCTGCTGCCACGGCCACCGCTGCCACGGCCGTCCGCCCCAGCCCGCTCGACGCGAAGCTCGTCCACGTCTGAGCGCTTTTTCCCCTCCCCCCGCGCGGCCGCCCTCGTTTTTCTCCCTCCTGCACGCCTGTCAGTTCGCCTTTCGGCTGCTCCGAATATAGGCACATGCTGGAGCGGACTGCATCTGCCTCGCCGCCGACGAAAAAAGTGCCACCCTTGGGTAAGTGGTTGTGTATGCGGATGTGCCGCCTGGCGATCGGCCGTGGCCGCCTCGTGGACGCCATGCGCGCCGGCTGCTTCCGTCGAGGTTTCGCCTTGTCGGCTGCCGTGGGTGCACAGCGCTGCTTGCACCACGGTGCATGAATTATTGCGATTACGTCTCATAGCTGAAACCGACTCGCTCGCAACACGCGTAGTTTGCACGACGTTGCTTATACCACCTGTATTGCATCACATTGTTTACGCGACATAGTTTGCACCTCACATGAATTGCACCACCTTGCGTGCACCGCACATACATAGATTGCACCACGTAGCGCGCACCAGACAGCTCGCACGCGCAGAGCGCAATGTCTCATTGTTGATGACCACGCTGATAAACTCGATGTTGCTTCAATCATTCAGGAGGCTTACGCCATGCCGCCAGCGCCTAGCTTGTGGGTCAAAGATGTATTGGATGCTTGTAGGGCTCTCTTGGGAAGTATGTTCAGAGCCTACCTGGCAGGTTTGAGGCTTCTTAGGGGCAGTTTTTTCCCCAACCCTCCTGCGTTGGGTACTCGTTTTGAATAGAGCACTGCGGTCTCCACCTTCCTTCCTTCCTTCCTTCCTTCCTTCCTTCCTTCCTTCCTTTCGAGGGCTGCTGGGGGGCCCAGCGGAGTGACGCCCTACGGGGACTCAGATTAGACCTCGCCATCCCTGGGGGGCGGCGATCTGCGAGACTGTCGTCACTTTCGAGGGCTGCTGGGGTGGCCAGCGGAGTGACGCCCCACGGGGACTCAGATTAGACCTCGCCATCCCTGGGGGGCTGCGATCTGTGAAACTGTTGCCACTTTCGAGGACTGCTGGGGTGGCCAGCGGAGTGACGCCCTACGGGGACTCAGATTAGACCTCGCCATCCCTGGGGGGCTGCGATCTGCGAAACTGTCGCCGCTTTCGAGGGCGGCCGGGGTGGCCAGCGGAGTGACGCCCTACGGGGACTCATATTAGACCTCGACATCCCTGGGGGCTGCGATCTGTGAAACTGTCGCCACTTTCGAAGGCTGCTGGGGTGGCCAGCGGAGTGACGCCCCACGGGGACTTAGATTAGACCTCGCCATCTCTGGGGGGCTGCGATCTGCGAAACTGTCGCCACTTTCGAGGGCTGCTGGGGTGGCCAGCGGAGTGACGCCCTACGGGGACTCAGATTAGACCTCGCCATCCCTGGGGGGCTGCGATCTGCGAAACTATCGCCACTTTCGAGGCTGCTGGGGGGCCCAGCGGAGTGACGCCCTACGGGGATTCAGATTAGACCTCGCCATCCCTGGGGGGCTGCGATCTGTGAAACTGTCGCCACTTTCGAGGCTGCTGGGGGGCCCAGCGGAGTGACGCCCTACGGGGATTCAGATTAGACCTCGCCATCCCTGGGGGGCTGCGATCTGTGAAACTGTCGCCACTTTCGAGGCTGCTGGGGGGCCCAGCGGAGTGACGCCCTACGGGGACTCAGATTAGACCTCGCCATCCCTGGGGGGCTGCGATCTGTGAAACTGTCGCCACTTTCGAGGGCTGCTGGGGGGCCCAGCGGAGTGACGCCCTACGGGGATTCATATTAGACCTCGCCATCCTGGGGGGCTGCGATCTGTGAAACTGTCGCCACTTTCGAGGGCTGCTGGGGGGCCCAGCGGAGTGACGCCCTACGGGGATTCAGATTAGACCTCGCCATCCCTGGGGGGCTGCGATCTGTGAAACTGTCGCCACTTTCGAAGGCTGCGTGGGGGGCCCAGCGGAGTGACGCCCTACGGGGATACAGATTAGACCTCGCCATCCCTGGGGGGCTGCGATCTGTGAAACTGTCGCCACTTTCGAAGGCTGCTTGGGGGGCCAGCGGAGTGACGTCCTACGGGGACTCAGATTAGACCTCGCCAGCGCTGGGGGGCTACGATCTGTGAAACTGTCGCCACTTTCGAGGGCTGCTGTGGGGCCCACGAAACTGTCGCCACTTTCGAGACCTGCTGCGGGGTCCAGCATAGTGACGTCCTACGCGGACGCAGATTGGACCCGTCATTCTACTTCGATTATCCCGCATCTGCGATCGACTGTATGTGTGCGAGGAACTAGACATGGAGTGGTCTGGCACTGACTGACGTCAAATCGTTGTGTGCCAGTGTCTCCTGGGGTGTTGCCTGATGTGGATGCAGCTCGTCGGCGCTGCGACTCGAGCTGGCGGTCGTCCTTCGGGCCCGCAGAAACATCTGCTGAGCTCGATGAGCTAGGGGAACTACAGGAAAGAAGTGCAGGAAACGGAGGCCGGTCATGCACTCGCCGATACCTCGTTGCTCTGTCATCGTCTTTGCTGTTGCATGATCCTTATCTGGCCTGCCGGCGCCGCGGCTCGAGCTGGCGGTCGCCCTTCGGGCCCGCGGGAACATCTTCTGAGACAAGTGGACGCCGCCGCCTTACTTGCAGGCAGCGCATTGCATTCGCGGACAGCAGCATGGCAGACCGCAGTGAGATCCTCAGTCGCGCGGTGTTGCCAAGCCTGGTGGAGACGCGCGTGATCGACCTGAAGTCCCAATCGCGCGTGCACTGTACCTGCGTGGCGTTCAGGCACGCGCGTGATGCTGCTCGCTCCGCGTTCAACCAGTACGTCGCCAGTGCAACTTTGGACGATGGACAACCGATTGATGATACGCGACCCCGGCCTTGAGTTTCTTTCCCGCGGGCCGCCCGCAGACCTGGCGGCGCGCCTGCGAGCGCTCAGCTCCCGCGCTGAAATGTGCGGGAA